TGGCAAAGAGTCGTCCAACGCCAATCAAGAAGATGTCAATTCCGAAGCTCGAGTTGAAGGCAGCGGCCCTGGGCGTACGTTTGAGCACGGAGGTCGCCACAGCTCTTGACATCCCAGTAGCGCACCACTTCTTCTGGACGGACAACATGAATGTTCTGTTCTGGGTGCGTTCTCACAGTCGCAAGTTCGCCACAGACGTCGGTGTGAAGATAGCGGAGATCCAGACAGTGACCTCTGGTAAGCAGTGGCAGCATGTGCCCGGCAAGTCAAACCCAGCAGACCTCCCAACACGCGGAATGACAGCTTCAAGTCTCGCAGCGTGTGACGAGTGGTGGCAAGGCCCGAGTTTCTTGCAAGCGCCGCCGTCAGAATGGCCGAACCGTGACATCGTTGTGCCGACGAATTTGCCTGGAGAAACCAAGCGCCACCAAGCATCGTCCCTGCTGGCCACCGGTCCGAGCATTGACCGCCTCCAACCAGATCGATACAGTTCCTGGATTCGCCTGAAGCGTGTCACTGCGTGGTGCAGAAGGTTCTTTCGGCACGCCAGCAAAGGGAAATGCTGCAGGCAGGACACACCGCAGACTGGAGGATCGGCAGCGGTGGAAGGCACCATGGTGTCCCTCGAATACCAGCGTACGAGAAAACCGCAGAAGTTTCTCGTGCAGCCCCTCACAGTTACTGAACTGGAGTCAGCTGAAGATGTGTGGTTCGCTAAGGCTCAGCAAGACGAGTTCAATGAGACGATTGAAGCGTGTAGAAGTCAGCGGCCCATCCCGGCGTCAAGTCCACTGCTACGCCTACAACCGGTTCTGGATGACAGCAACCCTCAGCTACTGCGGATGGACGGCAGGTTGAGCACGGCACATCACCTTCCCAGCAGCCTCCGTAGGCCCGTCATTCTGCCAACGAAGCATCCGGTCACAGCCCTTGTAATCGCTCATGAGGATGCGGCTCACAATCACACTGCTGGCGTCAACCACCTGTTGTCGACCCTGAACTCGAAGTTCTGGATTGTACATGGCCCAGCGGCAGTGAAAAGGCACCGGAGCCAGTGTACGGCCTGCAAGAAGATTTGGGCAAAGCCTGCTCAACAGCTGATGGCACCACTACCCGACTTCCGCACCGAGGAGCCTTTCCGAGCTTTCAGTCGGGTGGGCGTGGATTACGCCGGACCCTTTCTGACGAAGCAAGGGAGAGGAAGAAGTCGAGCAAAGCGCTATCTCTGCTTGATGACGTGTCTTCAGAGCAGAGCAGTTCATCTTGAGATGGCGTATGGCTTGGACACGGAGAGCTTTCTGCTGGCATTCACCAGGTTCGCGAAGAGAAGAGGTGTACCGGATCTCGTCGTGTCCGACAATGGTACCAACTTTGTGTCAGCCGAGCGTGAGCTACGAGAAGCCATCGAAAGCCTCAAGAACAGCCAGATTGCCGCTACCATGGCCTGCAAAGGCGTGGAGTGGAGGTTCAATCCGCCACGCTCACCGCATCACGGCGGGGTCTTCGAAGCAATGGTCAAGTGTGCCAAGAGAGCGTTGGTCGGCATCTTGCACAATGCTGTGTGTTCTGATGAGGAGCTCCAGACTGCCTTCACCACTGTTGAGGCTCAGCTCAATCGTCGACCTCTAACGGCCCAGAGTGGAGATGGACAAGACCCGGAGCCGCTAACACCCTCGCACTTTCTAGCGGGATCGACGACCGTGATGACCGCGGTCGAGGAAGATGGCCAGGCGTACCACCTCAAAGCCTGGAGGGTGTTGCAGAGCTGTTTAGCCGCGGTCTGGAAGCGCTGGCTACAAGAGATGGTCCCAAAGTTGAACATACGTCAACGATGGCAGAAGAGCCTTCCCAACATCCGGATTGGAGACGTGGTGCTTGTCCTGGACGCGCACACTCCTCGCGGCCAGTGGCCTCTCGGGAGGATCGAAGCGATCTACCCAGGCACCGACGGAAGAACACGTGTTGTCGACGTGAAGGTGAAAGGGAAGCAATACCGCCGACCTATCACTGTGCTCATCCCGATAGATGCGGTGCGCACTCCCTGAGCAGAAGAGTTACGGCAGCTATTGCGTTTTGCACCACTCATTAGGTATGACAATCTGTGCTGTGTGCATGATACTTGTAAGTCTGATAGAAGGCTATAGAACTAACTTTAGGGTCATTCTTATTCTGCGATAGAGAAGATTACGCTCTACCTCTCTTGTTTACGCTCTACTTCTTTGTTGCTTGTTCGTGAAGCTACAGACGATTAGTACATTGCGATTTAGAGTGTTTTCGTTCCCATTCTGCTTATGGTCCCTCAAGGAGGGGGTGATGTTCAGGTGATTCTACTCTCTCATGCATTCAGTGTTATAATTACTATCCAGCTCTGTCCGACTTGTGTTCAGTTGCCTGCATGCTCCAGTTTGTGTTTGTCTAGGATCTGCTGTGTGCGTTTCATCTCTCTGTTATGTCTGTAGTGATCTTGTGTCTTGGTGCCTGAGGCGCGCTTGCTGTCACGCATTCATGTATTCATGCTCTGATGTCTAGACTTTCACTTTGCGCGTGCGCTGCGTGCGTGTGCCGGCTCTTTTCCCGTGTATCTATGCATTATGTTGCTACACTACAGTTCCGGCTTATAGTTCCGTTTTGAGTCGGACTTTTGACTTTAGTTTTCTCAGCTGTTGCTGTTGTTGTGCTTTTAGTTGTTTTCAAGTCAGATTCCTTTTTCCTTCTCTGTTGTTGCTCATGATTATCAAGACTGTAAAAGTATGGAAGTAAGACAATAACTCCAGTGTGAGTTTATGAGCTATTGTTGGTAGTTTGGGTGCTTGCATCCAAACAATGATTATGTGAATTTTTGGATGATTACGAGTCACAGCATATCTTACTGAGTGCCTACTCCACTCTCATTGTTACCCAAATAAATACTTGAACTGTTGTGGAAAAACTCCAGAGCCAGGTCAGCAGGTCATTGGCCCCGCTATTGGCCAGGCTGAAGGGTGTGCGTACCCGTGGCTGAAAGAAATGAGCCAGGTAGAGGCGACGGTTCGATACCGGAACGGCTTGACAGCCAAATTTGTATAGACCCCAGGGTGCGAAATAACGGTCGGACATCGGACAATTTCCGACCGTTCACGGTCAGTTTCCGGATGTTTTGTACACATCTGGACAAAGTGTCCGCGCACCTTTTTGCAAAGCACACAAAAGAAAAGGCACGTCAATCCTTTGTCTCATAGTCATTAGTGATATCGTCTGGCAAGAGAAAGCCAAGCACCGCTGATGCGGATGCTCCTCTTGGAAAGAAACCCAGAGGAGTCAAGAAGACCACTTGTGACAAGTGGGCCGCCGAGTATGATAGGGAGCTTTCAACTTCTGTTTGGCTGATCTATGAGCGCAGTCTCTCAGATCGTAGCGTTGTCGAAAAATTTGAAGTGTAAGATATGTTCCCGTTTTGTTGATAAAATTCGCAGCGGCTAGAATTTTTCTGACTCTTTCGTCGTTGGCTCAAGGAACCTGAAAACGTCAGCCTTCAAAGATCATGCTGCTTCTGACATGCATCGTCGTGATAACATTTCGATGGTATCAATTCTACACTGAACATTGTGTGATTTGATGTGAAAATTTGCATGTCCGGACATGTCCGGCCATTTTTGCAACTGGCAGGACATTGCGTCAGAGCACATTTTAATCCTTAGCGCATGCCCTGGACCCAAACCGATCATCAGCGTTGATTGTTCACTCGAAATATGTTTGTGGAAGGAAACTGGCATGTTGAAGTTTGCTCTGAGGCCAGAGTCAATCGAACTGAGCCACTCCTTTATGTTGACCCATTGCCTCCAAGTTGCCCAGTTTTCACTTCAAATCAGAGGTGGCTCCAAACCGGACACGTTTTAGAGTGCACGTCAAATTCACTCTGGGTCTGAAATGAGGTAATTGCTATCGCTCCACGACGGCCAGTACAGAGTAACAATAAGCCTTGTGTGTGCTTCCATTAGTTTTCATTGGTATGCGGTGCTTTATTGGCGAGAGGCGAGCCGCTGTTTACCTGCGACAAGAAAATGATTTTTCGAAAGTCGTAAAACTCAAGTCGCAGTGCGAAGCAACACGTCAAAAACTCACCTGCTCGGGATGGCTCTTCTGGTCATCGCAGAGCCATAAAATGTTGGCTCGGAGTATAACACATCGTAGTCTCACTGTGACGTATGTTTTCTAATCAAAATACCAAGAGAGAAAGTGAATATTGAGTCCGTTCCGGTTTGCAACCTATGTCCTATTTGAAACCGTCGCCTCTACACACCAACCTGGTGAGATTGGGTTCCGTTGGACTGTATGAACATCTGTGTATTCCCTCACCTAAAGTTAGATACCGAAGTCAACCCAAATCCGGGTGGGTAGCCTGGCTCAGACTGTGTGGGGAGGGGGGTACAACTATACGCGGCTGACCACTAGTGTCGTCGGGTGTAAGACCTGACAATGGGCTTCCTCGTAGAGGTCACACGGACAACACTAGTCCTAAAGCAGACACCGCCTATATTGGCAATGGGTCCATTGTACTGTGACTCGGCTGCAACGTTACCTCCTATCCAACATCGACTACTGCCATGGAAATAAGAAACACGGTATCCTCTTCAGCAGGACTTATACAAACTGCTATAGCGCCAACCTAAACATAGCTGCTGGTGTAGCGAACTTGTATTGTAAATGTGCTGAAGGAAGAACGGGATAAGTCAGGCTGAACAATAGTGTGTGTGCAGGCTCCAGTTTCCTATCAGTGGTGAGAGATTTGATATCACCATTGACACGCTGCATGTCACAATATCAAATGTTCACACAAGCTCCTGTTTTGAGTTGTTTTTCTTCTCTCTTTTTCTTTCCCTAATAGTTGCTGTTACACTCACTGGTTCTTATGCACAGATATACAGCATTCCCTCACTAGTGGGACCATTGTTATTAGGCTAGAGCCTGTTTTGGACTTCCCACTCTAAATAAAGAATACAAACAAACAACAAACGTGGTACCTTGGTAGCACATAGCATGTGTACTCATCACTTGGACCCAGAATGACGGTGTCGTTGTTAACCAGCAGCTTTTCCACAACCTTGGGGTCTCGCAGAAAATCATCCACCTGCAGTATGCATAGTAGGTATGTACACAATCACAACGATAGTGATAACCACCGACAGCAAACACAATTTTCACTAGGCTTGTGTGGGCCTATGGTATAGGGTTAAATCCTACAAAGGAGAGAGAATTCCCCAGTGGCTACTGTCAGTCTCTCTCTCTCTCTCTCCCTCTCTCTCTCTCTCTCTCTCTCTCTCTCTCTCTCTCTCTCTCTCCAAGTATAGTAGGAGTTATTCGACAGTCCTTTATGCAAACCAGCTTGACCTGTTCTGAAAAAAATGTTCGCCTTACATCAGGTGACACTCACAACAAAGCACTGTGCATTGGCCGGTACAATGCATATTGAAAGCAAAATTTCACGACCATCGCAAATCTGCTGAAAGACAGTTGGGCTCACCTCTGAAGGTCGTGCGTGTGTGTAGCTAACTGCTAATGACAGGATCACTTCATCACCTTGAACGCTAAGCTCCCAATCTAGGGACAGTGTGGGAAAGCAATCAGCAAATTGCAACGGAACTGACTCGTTATGCTTACCAATCACTTCTCGCAGTGTGCTAAACTCCACAAGTTTGTGACCATACGCATCACCATACACGCAGTGTACTTGTACACCATTGACAGGAAAGTTATACTGAAAAAATAGTAACAATATAACAACTGCACCAAGAGCGTTGGGTGGAAAAGTGGCCAGCAACACAAATGGAAAAATACAGCGTAGCTGCAGAGTGGCTGCAAGTAGTCATGTCCATCCTTCTCTGAGTTTGACTATGCAGACTGAATCAGTCATCAATTCCATGATGTGAGGATATGTACTAAGAATTCACTCATATAGGGCCGTTCCTGTGGCTCAGTATGGTAGTCCGGAAGCAAAGCAACTAAGCAGCATACAGGCAAGCGGCAATCATTGGGAAGAGTTTTGTAAATGTTATCATTCACTGACTCTGGATGATGTAGGTCACAGCAGTGATTGATATCTTTGGGCAATGTGAAGTCAATTTGTTCACTTACCTACAGCTGGCATTCGACCGACAGTGCTCAGAAAGTGGTCGCCTACAGAAAACAGTAATCCATTCACCATAATATACAACATGCTTCTAAAATTAGAATAAAACATCCAACTATTGGGCAAATTTACAACTGCATTCTCCAAGCACAAACTCATCCTGGCCTTGCACTAGACATGTACATGTACAGACTGCTCAATTGAAGTCAGTTACGGCTGCTACTGAGACCGGCTATCTCGATGTCCATCAACAGTCATTCAACACACTACCATAATCCATCGTTGTCTGATGATTGGTTCAGCCATGAAACTCGGAGTCACAACGGAATAAATTTGCCAAGGTTTTCATTGTGTGCCTTTGTGTGCGCCGCTCTGCCTGAATCAGGCATTGAGCACTCTTGCAGAACCAAAGCATATTGCCTCTGTGCATAATCCATTTAGGGATTTTAGGCTCAGCCACGGAGGAGCATAATTTTAGAAATGGTGGACAACCAGGGTGACAGTGAAGCCACACAGAAGTTCATACTCATTGTGTGCATTGCGTGAGTGAGTGGTACGGATACATGTACTACGGTGCGTATGGAAAACAGAGAGGATCCAAGTGGGAAAATACCGTGACTTCAGGCAGTTTGCCAAACTGTTTCTATGTACTACAGTATGGGTACAAGTATGTGCTTGCTGTTTCTTACCTTGAATGAGCTTGTGACCAACGCGATTCCAGTCGGGTGCTAGCCACGACTGGATAGAGAAGGTGAGACAGGCTTGCAGTGCCACCGATGTCACTGGTTGAAAACTAGATACCTGTAGGGAGGCCGTGTGAGTTTGGGACAAGACCATGAAGCCATTGTAGTTACAGTGTATGCCAGACAAATCGCAAAGCTAGATGTTTAAACCACGTCGATTTCAGTTTTGAGTTCTCCCTGCAAAACTTATCGGACGACTGGAACAACATGAGAAATACAAAGTTAAACTGCTAGACAGGCCGGGTCGCCTTTGCTTATCAGACAAGACCAGTCCATGCATGGCAGAATGCCAATGGCATGCGGCAGTGGCTCTTGCCAAAAGTGATTGTAACTTACATCGTGCATGCCAGTACTTGAACAGTATAGAATAAGGAATGTACTTCAAAGTAGTAGTACCTTTACGGATAGGAAGCGAAGGACATTCTTGAATCCGCTTGTTCTGACTGTACTTTTCTATTGATACACAAAGCAACAAGTGTACAGTGTGCATGATTGACTGGAAGAGTGAAAGCACTAATCCGATAAAACTGGATCCCCCTAATCAGGGACCCGGTGGGCTTGATGGAGGAAGGCCGCACCAAACGTGGGTTTGTTTTGTTGCACTAGCTTGGTTGAAAGTTGCCACGACCATCTTGCCCAGTGTGTCACATGGTAGCCTCAGAATCATGATTTTGCTGCATCTTCTGTCGCCTTTTGAGCTATTTTCTGGTATGCCTTGAAGACAACTGCATGTACCACAACATTGCTCACGATCATGCCAAATAATCTCTGTCATGTGGATTCTGTAACTGTGGGCTTGTGAAAAGTTGAGAATTACCATCATTAAACAGGGCTAGGAGTTGTGCGAAAGATCTACAAATGGACATTCTACCTTCCGCCTACCCAGACAGTACTTTCAGCGCAGATTGCCCATGCTGGCGATAAACTCCAGTCCTGGTAAAAAAAATATTTAAAAAAACTCTGTTCTCATGTATGTAATAGCGCTGGGGGCTACATGGCCCTAGCACCGTGACCACACGCAATACTCTGCGCACTGAAGCGTAGCCGGTTACTATATTCATGAGTCGGATTTCTCAGCCAGGGCTGCAGAACCGGGCACGAGGCCACCGAGTTTCATCTGCTGCTCGTTCTGTGATGTCGCTGTGATGATTCTATGAAGTGCTAACCATCTCGATTACCGAACACGGAAGTACTTCAAGCTACAGTGTACTGGTACATTGCCATTACCCTACCTCTGTTATGAACATGAACTTAGGATCAGCGCCGTATTCACACGCCGCCGGGACAGCGATGCAGGAGTTCTCCTCGCACTCTCGCACTGATTCCATAAACAACCTACAATGTATTGCACACACACACACACACACACACACACACACACACACACACACACACCTTTGACCTTTGACCTTTTGACGCCCATCGCCGGAGGCGATGATAGCGATGCTTGGCAGAAGCCAGAGCAACTTGTGCTGGGATTGCACCATTCAACAGCTTGCAAGAATTCACTGGCACTATTCAGCCTGGCTGGTCACACACACACACACACACACACACACACACACACACACGCGCGCGCGTGCGCGCGCGCACATGCACAGGCAAGCATACCGTAATGTCGCGTGCATAAGCCGGATTTGTGCATAAGCCTGTCTCGTGTAGAAGCATGAAATCTGCAACAGCTTTTCGCGTACAAGCCTGTCGCATGCATAAGCCGGGCCAGTACACGAGACGCGCCTTGTGTCGCGTGCGTAAGCCGGGCTACTACGCAAGACTGGTGAGCGCGCCTTTTACATGTTCATGTTTGCATGGTACCGTACACTTGCACACGCGGAAAACGTGGGAAGATGCGGAAATTCAGGGAGCGAAAAAAAGGAAAAAAATCCCGTTGGAAAATGTTGGTTTTGACGTCCAAAAGTCAGCAGTTTGCGCATACAAGCCTGGTCATTGAGTGGTGCTTGTCATATAAGCCTGTCTCGTGTATAAGCCTGTCTTGTGTACAAGCCTGACTCCATCACCGGCTTATAGGCATATAAGCCCCGGCTAATGCACGCGACATTACGGTAGTAAGCATGAAATCTGCAACAGCTTTTCGCGTACAAGCCTGTCGCATGCATAAGCCGGGCCAGTACACGAGACGCGCCTTGTGTCGCGTGCGTAAGCCGGGCTACTACGCAAGACTGGTGAGCGCGCCTTTTACATGTTCATGTTTGCATGGTACCGTACACTTGCACACGCGGAAAACGTGGGAAGATGCGGAAATTCAGGGAGCGAAAAAAAGGAAAAAAATCCCGTTGGAAAATGTTGGTTTTGACGTCCAAAAGTCAGCAGTTTGCGCATACAAGCCTGGTCATTGAGTGGTGCTTGTCATATAAGCCTGTCTCGTGTATAAGCCTGTCTTGTGTACAAGCCTGACTCCATCACCGGCATATAAGCCCCGGCTAATGCACGCGACATTACGGTAGTCGATATGCGTGCCTGTGTGCGCGCGCAATGAGGTGACAGAAAGACACCATGGCCATATGGGCAGTCGTCAAAACAGGAAAGGGGCGACTTTTCACGGGTAGGACCAAAATACGGACGCGCACAAAGTGATTATGCGACTGACAACTTCCCAGTTGGACAACTGACGGTACAGTACATAAGCACACAATGATTGAAATGGGAATCTTACACGCCCCTCCTCCCTCCCCGGTTTGAACCAGAGACACTACCCTAAAAAAAGAATATGGAAACCCCTAGTGGTTCATGATTTGCCACCCACCAACCAAATTCATGTCAACACGCTGAATTTTCTTACCTACATAAGACAGGCGTCCTGTGGATCGACTTCTCTCCGAAAAGACGATGTGCCATAGACCTTCTTTCTACCAATTCCGCCCGAATGGGTACTGTGCTGTTAGTGATATCCAGTGGGTTGAAGCATGCATAGCCAACAACCAGTTCGGCAAGTCTGGGAAGGTGGCGTTTGAAGTGAATCCTATGGTCATACTCGTTGTTGCCCATAGCGAAACGAAGCCTGGCCGCTTGAGCCAAACTAGTTTCACTCCCCGAGGCTAGAAGCAACTATAAAAGTAATGTATGAGCCTTTTCTCAGCTCGGGTTCCGGGCTGAGAGCGGCATGCAGAACAACAGCAGTATTTGTATTATTGATAGAAATTAGTTACTGTAGTACAAACTATCTGCCACGATGAAGCCCAAGGAGAAGGAGTCACTTCCTTGGAACTTTCCTCGTTCACATTGAGTTCCTGCAATACAGGTAGATCTACTTGAAGTCCAGTCTCGATTTCCTACTGCCACATACACAGTCAAGAATCATCTTTCCGCCCGTACTGGCCATATACCGGTATGCATAGCGGAATAGGTCTACCATGCATACCAGGGAGTCGTAAATTACGACTCCCTGATGCATACCGTCCGGTTGTTGAATGACCTTTGACCTAAAATCCTGAACTTTGTACTGCACGTGACTGTATCATAGCAGCATGCAGAGTGCAGACTCTGCACATGTGATGCAGCAGGGAGTAGTAAAAACCGAATTTTTAGTACGTCCTGGTGTTCACTGTGTTCAGGGTGTGTGGTTGTGTTGTTCAGTTTTCTGAACGACTTTCTTGAAAATTCTTTCACCTGTTCTAATACCGGTACAGTGTATATACATGTAATACCAAGAGTAGATAAACAAGAGTGTGCAACTCCGGATGGGTAGGCCAACAGGCGGAATTTTTTGTTGACGTAATCTTTTCGACGACGCACGCGCTGCGAGTCTTTCGGAAAGTTTTCCCTCGTGCTCTTGGCCGGGTTTTACACTATAACTTATAAGGTCGGTGCCCAGCACGTGCTCTCACACTGCTCTGCGGCAAAATGCGCGTTTCTCTGAAAAAAAAGGTGACAACAACAAAAAATTCCGCCGTCCGCGGGGGTATCTGCAGATTGTGCAGGAGAGATCCGGAGTTGCACACTCTTGTTTATCTACCCTTGATAATACATGCACTGCAGAATGTACATGTGCAGGGCTCGGGTTGAAATCGCAGGAAAAATGAGCTTGCGGCGGTAAATTGTAGTGAACTCGTGAATTTGTGACTACCATAAAGTACCGCCAGAGCGCCCCATCTCGCGAGAGCGCCCGCCCCGTCTCGCGAGAGCGCCCGCCCCATCTCGCGATAGCGCCCGCCCCACCTTGATTTTACAGCCAAGGGAAGACAATCGTATGGCAGAATGCTACTAAGTTTGTACGGTGTGAGAACCTTCATGATTGTACTAAGGTCACACTTGGTATGTTTTTATGTGGAGCTCAAAGGTAACTTGGGTACGGATTGACTGCACAATGTGCAATGCGTGCGCGCGTGTGTGTGTGTGTGTGTGTGTGTGTGTGTGTGTGTGTGTGTGTGTGTGTGTGTGTGTGTGTGTGTGTGTGTGTGTGTGTGTGTGTGTGTGTGTGTGAGGGTACAAGGTCCGTGTCGTATGACCTACAGACAGGAAACCATCTCCACAAGGCGGCCACGAAAGGACGAGATGGTGGGGCGCTATGGCGGTACTTTACGGTATTACTAGTGTTAGCCAGTCTACCGATTTGCCTGCCAGGAAGCTGTCTGCCCCCCCCCCCCCCCCCCACAAAAATAGAACTACTACTTGTAGTAAGGGCATGTTCGATTGGTAGGGTCGGGATCCCGGTCCACCGGATCCACTGGATTCGCACCCTTTCGATTGGTCGAATCCGGATCCGGATTCTTCGGATTTGGATCCGGTCAACCCACCTCGGGGAGTAAGAGCAGGGTTGACCGGATCCAACGGATCCAAATGGGATCCAAATGTGACCTTTGTGCGTACATGTATATGGCGGGTAAAAATCATTTTTGTACACATTCAGGTACGCACACGTGGATCGAGATAGAGCTTGTTGACTTTTTGTACGACGCGTGCGATGTGAGAACGACGTTCACCCTTTTGGGTGACTCGTGAGCGCCATTTTATTGCGTCGTCAACATGGCAACAGTCAAGGTCCAACATAAATTGTTCAGTTGACTCTGAAGGATCCGACGGATCTGAGATATGGATCCCGATCCTTACCAATCGAACATGTCCTAACGTGACCATGATTGTGCTGAACGCATCGCAATTTCAATGTTTTCATGCCACTAAAACATCAAAATTGCGGAATTTTGCAAAATTCGAAGATTTCCAAGATATCGTCAAAATCACAGAAGAATTCGCATCCTTGCAATTAAACTTTCCGGTTTTACAGTACAGTAGAGTCGCGCGTCCAAGAACGTTGTTTCCAAGGGTCATACCTCAGCTGCCTGGGACGTTCTTAGGGCATGTTCGATTGGTAAGAATCGGGATCGGGATCAGGATCCAGATCTCAGATCCATCGGATCCTTCAGATTCAACTGAACACTATATTTTGGACCTTGACTGTTGCCATGTTGACAATGGCACTCACAAATCATCCAAAAGGGTGAACGTCGTACTCATCGCCTCCGTCGTACAAAAAGTCAACAAGCTCTATCTCCATCCACGTGTGCGTATCACAATGTGTACAAAAATGATTTTTACCCGCCATATGCGCACAAAGGTCACATTTGGATCCGTTGGATCCGGTCAACCCACCTCGGGGAGCAGGGTTGACCGGATCCAAATCCGAAGGATCCGGATCCAGATTCGACCAATCGAAAGGGTGCGAATCCAGTGGATCCAGCGGATCGGGATCCCAATCCTACCAAACGAACATGCCCCAAGAAACAATCCGGGCTGAATCATACATTGACTTCGGAATCTTCTGTCCATGTATTCAAGAAAGAGCTGCGCAAACATTCTTGTCAGTATTCAGGTCTACTAGCTGGCATGCCGTTACCCTGTTCATCGTAGCCCCCCCCCCTCTTTCCCAATCTGTACTCTCTTGTACCATCATCCTTCAATGCGACGGACCCCACGATAGGCGGTCAGCAAGAGTACATAACCCCCCAGAGTGTGCAACTCCACTATGGGTGCTGTCCCGACAGAATTTCAAGTTGACGTCATTTTGATGATGCAATGCGCACTGTACACGGATTATCAGACGAATCCGGAACCTGTGGTTGACCGAAGCCGATCGATCCTGTACAAATTATTGCAAAGAAAAACGTGTGATGCGTTGACACCCGTACACATGTTGTAAATCACTGCTGCAAGGAGCATTGCGTCATAAATAATGACGTCAACTTGAAATTCTGTCGGGACAACAGGGTATGTGGGAGTTGCACACTCTGGGGGGTTATGTACTCTTGGCGGTCAGCCTTTGGGTCATCCTAATAAAGTTATTATTATTATAATCAAGAGTACATAACCCCCAGAGTGTGCAACGCCTGATCCCGCTCTGCATAGGGTATTGGTCGAGCGGAATCGGATCTTCTGATGTCATGCATACACTCCACACCGGCGCATGGCCGGTCTCGAGGCAGGGCACCGTTGTTTTTGATCCGAGAGTACCCGCGACTCCCCGGGATCCCCTCAGATGTGTACGGTAGTATGACGCAAAGATCCGATTACGCTCGACCAAGACCCAACGCAGAGCTGGATCAGGCGTTGCACACTCTGGGGGGTTATGTCCTCTTGTTATAATGTATCCCACAAGCTCCCAGAAAACCAACACCGATGTTCTTAACTTTAGGCTGGACGTTCTTGGGCTCCACGTTCTTCAGCGCGCGACTCTACTGTAGTGCAGGCCAAAAACTGAATGTGTGCACAACAAAAAGCACAGCCTCAGTACTAGAGTAGAACCCGGGTTAGGGATCCACCTAACTCTGCGCGGACATAGCTGGACTCAGTTGTACAGGGATGGGCAAAAAGGTGTGCAAAACGACTTTTTGTGAGTAGATGGACCCCGGAAAAATAGTTTGGAGCGAAAAAAATACGGCTTCCTCGGAAACCAACCCCCCCCCCTTGGGCCGGAAATTAAATCCCGGTATAAGGATCACCTGCACAATGTACGTGCCAAGTGCCCCCCCCCCCTTAACCCGGGTTCTACACTACCCCTATACAAGAGTAAGGTTTATGTACTTGCTATAAACAGTACAATTTCCAGCTGTGGAGGATGCGGACCACATCAAATTAATTATTTCTATTAAAAATTGCACATTGAAATGTCAAAGAATCCATGAAATGGTGCAATGCGAGGTTGAAGGTGAAGATGCCGTTTTTCTCCGGACACAAAAGCTGCCAGAAAAGTGGAGAAAACACCATGGACATGGGCTCCACTTTCTTCAGCGCGACTCTACTGTAAGCAGCTTGCACACTCTATTGAGGGAGCTTATCTAACATTTACTCCTGACATTAAAAAAAACATAGATGAATGCTATTCTATGACTGCTATTCCATGCACCAAGGCTACCTCAGGCGCTGGCATTACAGCTCACAGCCACGCGCAGGTATTACAGCACACAGACATTCCAACGCACAAATCTATCAACAAGTGTTGCTGAAAACACAAGTTCAGTCCTCTTTTTCAATGGCGGGTTTTGAGAGGAATAGCGCTGCACAAGCATTCAAGAATAGCTGTAAGTCAGTGGGGGTACATGGTCAGTTGTAAGTCAGCGGTTTATATGTGTGCACACATATAGACACAGTGACACGACCTGCAGTCACCAGCCAACTAAATAGCAGTAGCAGTAGTGGCAAGAGCAGTAGCAGCATCCCCAGTAACACCCTGCAACATTCAATCAGTCCAAACGGCCTCTGCAAATCGACACGAAGCCATTGGCTTAATATAACTGCATGAATCGTGGCACATCGTAGAAAAGAATATAAAAACGGCCAGGAAAGTGAAAGTTGGAGGTGAGAAAATACACTCTCTGGGTTACTGGAGTAGCAGCTGCAGCAGAAGCACACCTAGGGTAAGAAAGGCAACTTTACTTGAATACGGATCCACTGGCAAACTTCTTTCCGCCAAAGTCACCTTCCCAGGCAAAGTATTCCTGAAGAAGAGACTTGGTCTCATCAGCAGATGGGTCCAACTTGCGCCAGTCATAAGACTCGTAGTCTACCTGCCAGTCAGGGGACAACTGCATGCAACAAAACCAGAGCAAAACAGATGTTTAAATTTTTTAAACAACATGACAATGAAGAACAGAATACCGTGCAACTTGCAAAAGCCGACTGTTAAGGTGGCTGGGGCGGTACAACTTTTTAGGGAAATTTTAACTGCATTTTTGAGTTTATCGGCAAGGTGGAGATGAAATTTGAAAATATTTTTCGGTGGATCTCTGGAGAATAGGGAGGTTTCGCTCTACGTAATTACGTATGAATATAACGTAGGAACTGCACGTAATTTTCAAACGTAAAAATCAGAGCTGTTGGGTTTCACTCTATTTCTCCACGACTGCTAAGCATGCCTGGTTGCTTTGGAGCCACGTTGGCTGCATGCGCCTGCCGCATGCACCACGAACCGAAACCACGTTTTCCATTTTATTTTGGACGTGGTGTACGGTGTGTATTTGTGTTTCGCGCGGCTTGAAAGTTGCCATGGATAAATCCGGAAAATGGGAAAAAAATATTTCAAAAAGTCCTACGGAGGACCCAACGTAGGAAAGAGCTTTCCTACGGAAATCCGTAGAGAGATTTACGTATGAAAGTTTCCCTTGCTCCCCGGCGCGTACGACATACGGATTTTCATACGCAATTACGTAGAGCGAAACCTCCCTAATAGCCTTCTCTAGCTTCCCATAGTTTAATTTTACTTTTGGACAAAATTTGAAAACGTTTTATGAAAGGTCCGCGACCTATCATAAAACGTTTTCAAATTTCGTCCAAAAGTAAAAATATAACCATAGGAGGCTAGAGAAGGCTATTCTCCAGAGATTCACCGAAAAACAATTTCAAATTTCATCTCCACCTTGCCGATAAACTCCAAAATGCAGTCAAAATGTTAATGCCCAAAACATAGTCCTGACCATGGGACAGCTGTATTAGGGGTGGCCTCGACACACTGAACTCTCACTAGGTTGTCGTTGCATATCAGGGGGAGCAAGGCCTACACAGCCTAGAGGCATTCACAAAAAGAGGAATGCCTGGAGCACAAACATTTTTTCTCACTCGTGTAGTGTACAACTGTTTTAATACAGCCAGCAGGAAGCAGAGGACCAGTATATCATAGTACAGTGATACACTCAAACGCCTCTTATCCGGTCGCCTCAGATACGGGCACGTCTCTCTGCCGGGCACCTTCAGCTTGAGTTCCTATAGCACAAATGCTTCGAATTTGAGGTTTTTGAACTTTTTTCCGTATGTGGAAGTGCTTATTTTTCACTGCCAACCTATGTAATCCACACATTTTTACCAATGGGTTCCTTTTGTATCCTAAACATGTGCAATACGTTCCAAATAATCTTCTTCAAAAAATTATATAGTACATGGTAGGTGAGTTATCCTGAGATACGGGCAAATCTGAAGTACGGGCAGTGCCCGGTCCCAAGGTGCCCGGATAAGAGACGTGCGAGTGTAGCTGCCAACCACTGGCTGTGCATCAGGGCTGTACTTACATCAAAGACGAGGTCCTGGCCGCGCCATACCCAGACACCAGAGATGCTGTTGGCATTGTCCTCACCCAAGATGCACACACTGGCGAAAGCATTCTTGCGCAGTTTGTCAAGACGCTGGAACATACCGTTGACCAAGTTGCTGGTCATGAAGATCTGGGCAAGCTCGTCATTGTACTTGTACGTGGAGAACCAGATTGAGTAGTTCTCGGCATCGAAGTTCTCCCAGAAGTGGGGCACTGCTTTGGTGATGGTGTCCTCATTACTGTAGCAGCGCTTGAAGGCATCAAAGTCCCACGAGCTGAAAAAAACACAAGACAGAAAAAATTAGATCTTTTTCAGAGTCGGAGATGTGCGTGTTTGAATGATCCTTTGAGACCCCACTGAATGTAGGACAATTTACTCACCTTCAAATAACATGCACTTTCACTTGTATCTCCACCAAACATTCACCGATTTTTACAAACTAGCCACAGTCGTAAAGGTATTTCCAAGACGAAGAGACTTGGGGCATGATTGATTGGGCGAATCCCGAGCAAGTGCGCTCCGAGTGAGTGTGATCGATTGGCCGAGTCCGGAGTAGGCGTACATGGAGTGGAATCCAATTACACCGGCCCCCACACCGGGAGTGGGTGGAGTGGAAATGGACTTAGGCGTTTTTGACAGCGTTCACAGAATCTTTGTACGATATGCGTACATTTTGCGTACTACCCCCATATTTTGTTCGATTGGGCCAGGGTTGCTCGGACTACACCGCCTGCTCGCACTCAATCCAGATTCGCTAATCGATGACACCCTAGTACCACACTCAAGTAGCATTCCGGGGAAATCCCCTGCCAAGCGCAGCATGAAAATTTGAAATTTTCGATCAGAGTGCATTTTTCAGTTTTTCTCAGACTTCGAGCCGCACCACGGCGGCATCGTACCCCCTAGAGACTTCCGATAGCTTCGAGATGATGGCCAAGGTTCTTATCGAAACGTAGATGCTTTGTTTATGAAAATCGGAGAAGGAACACCAGATATTATACATATTTTTTTAGTGTCACTGTATACCAAAAGGTTAACAAAATCAGACTTCTACTAAAAAAGAAGAAGAAAAAAAGTACACATCACTTAGGTATTGGGAGCACTCAAACACAGATCGCATTGGCGGACCACCACTATGCTAAAAAAAACTCGTTGTTGCGCATGTGCACCTTCCGCGTGAATCAAGGGAAAGGGGTGTCTTCCTCGGTCCAAGGACGTGCAATGTCAAAATCAAACCACTAATCACACATCCTTGTTACCCTGAAACTGAGGAAGTGTGCACCCACTTGATCAGAGGAATCAGCTTTTTTAACTAAAGCAAATACCACACAAGAAGGAAGCAATTCTCCCATACGTCACCCCAATGTCAATCAATGAGGACATACGACAGCCGTAGCATGAATCGCAGATCGCAACGGGAAAGATAATCCAAGCATGCCATCTACACAAATGCTGATGATTGTTGCAGCCATCAGCAGAGGCTGGGAGTTGTACCGGGGATGTGTGAAGCAAGCCACCAGTGCATGAAACACAAACGGTACACCAAGCAGCTGGCTAACGCGCACTAGAAAAACTCATGTTTAAATACGTGGACAAAGTCATTGGCAGTACGAGAATCCAAACAAAACGCAACTGAAGTCACATACCTCTTGGGGAAGGTTGCAAATGGGTCCTTTGCCTTGGGTGCAGCTGGCTCTTCTGCTGCCTCCTCGGGCTCGGGCTTCTTCTCCTTCTTCTCAGCCTTGGGCTTGGTCTCCTTGGGCTCCTTCTTCTTCTCAACCTTCTCCTTCTTGGGCTGCATCTCGGCAAGCTTCTTGGCTGCAGGGTACAAAGGGGAATATCCACAACATATTGTCATTTCATTCGCACAGCAAAAACGGAATGCGGTGAAGTTGTACTGGAAGCCATCATAGATTAATGTGTCTGCACTGATGAAATCAGGGTATGAATACAAGTATTGCTAATCACATGGCATCCGGAAAACAAGGACACGAACGAGCTCTGAAAAGCATCCCGTGCACAAACATGTATTAGCAGAGCACGATAACACACTGGCTTACGGTCAAACTTGGCCATGGTGGTGCAGAGGGTAACCTCTCCAAGGACGGACTTAGCCTGGGGCTGGTTGACAATGGTTGTGAACCATCTGTTGACATTGCCGTATGGAGCACGGAAAGATGGCTCCAACACCTACACATGCGAAGAACAGAACAGGGACGAACAGTGAACGCTCATCAACTCGGAGAGACACAAATCCACGCACAATGCCATTTCCAAAAATTACCACACGTGTGGTAATGACGAACATGAATAAGCCTGACGCTCGTTGAACTGATGCACGAAATGCCGTAGAAACCCGTAGACCCAGTAGGGTGTTGAGTGACAGATCCCTATTGCGTAACTGTAAAGGGCGATTCACAATACAACTTTCTGCGACGCGACACGCGATTTGCGACAGTTGTGACAAGAAACTGCCTGTCGCGGGCTGTCGCAGAAGTTGAAGAAAGTTCAACTTTTGCGACACGCGACATACACAAATGGAGTACAGTTTCGACCCTGGGTACACGTGCAGTGCACGTGCTTAGAACTACTTGTGCATGAGGATGTCGCAAACATGAAGAATATTGTGAACCGTGTGTCGCTGTCGCAGCTCGTCGCATGTGTCGCAAGAAGTTGTATTGTGAATCGGCCTTAATTTACACTACGAAACGTGCCTGCAAGCATTTAATACGAAAACATTTGTTCGGAAGTAGCTAGTCATTGACATTAGCTTAATCCTAAGTGATACAGCTGGAAAAGCGGTCGACTTCCCATGGGTATTGGTCTAAATTGGTCAAAAGTACATGACTGCATACAATGAACATACAACGTGGCATGTACACACCTACGGGATTTCGTACATCTGCAAAACGTGCATAACGACCATATCATCAGAATGAAAGGCAACGCATACCTGGCGATAGAGACCAAGGAGAGCAATAGCGACAGTGATGTCAGCAAGGGTGATGCGCTCTCCGACCAGGTAGGTGCGGGTCTGCAGGGCGTTGTTCAGAAGCTGCAGGATGGTCTTGACGTGTTCCTGTGCCTTCTCTGTGGCCTACGTGCATCACACATTACAATGACAGTGCATGCAAACACAAAATATTTAAAACGCAAAGAAACAAAAACTGTGCGCACCAGCGGACGAGCTAACAATGCTCCACAGCCAGAATTATGTTGCTGCCATCATTTAGAGAGTTTGTCATCGCATACAGTCAGGGTATGAATACAAATATCAATAATCATCTGGCAACAGCATGAACGAAGGCCCTAATCACTAAACTAAGTAACAGTATGGAGTGCACGTGTGCCACACTGCTGTACCGCAATCAAACAGAATCATAAGCACAGTGACAACTACTAGTACCATCAACTTGGTAGCCAGAAACATCAGCACTACATTCACAGACATCAGCAGTGAAACGACCGAGCAAAGAATACCACGTTAATACTGAGTACTGGAAGCTCTACTGCTACCGTCTCTGCTGCCCGACATACCTGCTTGTTGTATTGCATGAAGCCAAGAGTTGGGTAGACCCATGTACACGCAGCGGGGAGGATTTCATTCTCCGCAAGCTGGACGAACTGCTGAACGAGGGCAGCATCCATGGGGGTAGAACCCCTCAGCTGCTCGTTGGCAACTGCGCAAAAACGGGGCAATAACGGACACGTTTCATTAACACTCCTTGACAAGGAACTGCTACATGAATGCTCCATGGTGAACATAATATAAAAGCAGAGCAATTCAACCCAGATTCTCTGCATCTTCATTGACTGGGCTGTGCTATCTCAGATAATTCTCAATGGCATGGAGTACATGTGACTACAACAATACCCGATAGCTAAAACCAGTGAGGTCAAGAACAGTACGTGTTCTTATGCCGCCAACATACCGAAGTGAGCGATGGCATTGCTCTCGTAGATTGGTTGGCCATCAGCGGTTAGGAAAGCTGGAACCTGAAAGCAAGCAGAACAATGCACAATAACCACAAAAAAACATCTGGTAAACGGCAATACCCCTCGCACAGATCAGCACAGTGGGTGCCGAGAGCGCAATTCTTACACCGGAGTGAGTCTGCATTTTCATGCGAGTACAAGATGAGCATGAGACACACGTTCATTTGTTACCTAGACTCGAGGAGTCATACAATGTCTGAAGAAACAGTCTGTCCCAAGCACAAGCCACTTCACTCGCCGGCTACTCCGATTGTAGTTGTCTCCTACCAATCTTGTCCCAAAATGCAAAAAGTTTCTGCTTGAATATTGGGGACCCGGTGTCAACAAGACTTAAGTACGAGTGCCTTTTACACACTCAAGTTGATGATGGTACATACTTGTACGTGCAAGAATACAATCAGAGTATGCAACTCCACAGATGAGACCGGAAAGGTGAAATTCCTCGCTTGCGTCAAATTGACAAGGCAAGGTAAAACTGAATCGTACCCAATACAGTTCATCATAATTTTCATGCCTTGGCCCAAAAGAGACACACAGCCAAAAGCTCTCCCTTTCTCATATGGCCAAGAAACGGAGGACTCTAGTTTATATGCTCTCGATGTGACTGTCGATGTGAATAAGCGCATGCGCGAGACTGTGTACACGTTCAAGGCATCCTTGTGTGCGATGAGTGTGTGCCAGCTAGTTTGGTTGGTGGGTACACATATGCCTGATTGTATTGCGTCTGTTGCCAACAGGCTCGGCTGCTTGAAGGTGTAATGTTGTACCTGCCACCTTTGTTGGTTCCAGGGTTCATATACTTTCTATTTGAAGTATACATACCTGTTAACCATGGACTGCTTCTGGCTAGATTAATTAACTCTTTGTGTAATCAATGGTGCTAGTGAAGCTTATCTCAGATCCACTCTGATTTAGCCACCCACACTAGTAGCAAGTATTACCTTCACTGGGGGCAGGGGTACTTGCAGTTGGATCCCGGGACGGATACCCTGATGCCGTCAATCCTTTTTCTGCACATTGACCTCACCCACTTAGGGGCCGTCCACAAATATCGAGGGGGGGGGGGGTTGGTCACTGTTCGTCTCGTCCTTTTGAAAAAAATATCGATCTCTAATTTTGGGCGGGCACAGTGCAAACATGCAGTTGATGACCTACACAAAGTAAAAGTCAACCCCAAGAATGCAGCCATGGCAAGGTTGAGAGACTGTGGCAATGTAAACCTTGGTGTATGTTGAATTTGGAGTTCCTGTTGGTCGCGTTTCGCGAGATTAGGCCACACTTTTTTATTTCTATGTTTCTTGTCACCCGCGCGCATACGATTCAGGAGTGTGGAAAAAAAAGAGAAAAAAAACTGTGCTGCACTGACAGTGCATGTGGGGACCAGCACACTCATGCACATATACATATGTGGCCTGGCCTGCGCGACACATGATGCGGTCGGCATTTTTTGTGCGCAATCTACGCTGAGCATGCACAGATTGTGACAGAAACTCCTACCACACACTACCGTACTGGCAATATATGTTGCCGCAGGGAGGCCATGAAGCGTTACATTGGCACATGTTTGCCGCACGCAGGGCGTTACATGCAAAGTCGCACAGGAGCCGTTACACAGGTTTCTATATTGCCGCAGTCCTTTTTTTGCTATTGCCGCATCACTTTTTTGCTATTGCCGCATCACTTTTTTGCTATTGCCGCATCATTTTTTTGCTATTGCCGCATCATTTTTTGCAAACTGCAATGAAAAGATCGCCGCACCCCGCCGGACGCGCGTTACGAACTCAACGAAAATGTGTCCCACTAGCCTGGTCGCGCGTTACGCCGCACCCCCCTGCGTTACGCGTTACGCGGCAACATATATTGCCAGTACGGTAGTTGCTAACTATGGATGCTATTTTGCATGGTGTATTGGTGGATTTTAGTGTGAACAAAGCTAAAGGTCTAGTGAACTTTTTTTATTTCTCGGTAATTTTTATTTTTTTCCACCTCTCGCATACGTTTTCGCATACGTTACGCATAGATTTTCAGGTGACGAGAAACATAGAAATAAAAACGTGTGGCCTTACACTTCATTAAAAAATATCGATACTCTGCATAAACGTGTGTATGTTCGTTTTGAGGGGGAGGGAAGGGGTCCGGGGAGATACGAACAAATAGTGTCTTGAAAAAAATATCGATATTTACGGACGGCCCCTTACCGATATTTACGGACGGCCCCTTACCGAGGTGTGGTGAGCCCATTTAGTGAGATCATTTTCAAATCCACCCAGAGTTTTGGGGATTTCAGAGGGTTTCGGCCGTTGGGTGGTTCAATAGCCAGTTGAGTCATCTTTCCGAGATTCCTTTCGAGTCTCTCTCCCCTCTCCCGGGGAGACCCACGTGACCAGTTTTGGCAGTGAGCAACACATGTGTGTGTATGAGTGGAATGTGGTGCTTGTTGATGTATGGGTGGACTGCGGTGTGTGTTGGTGTATGCGTGTGTATATGTGTGTGCATGCGTCCTTGTGCACGTGCATGCGTGAGCACGTGTGCGGTTGGATGTGTGTGCGAACGCGCGCACGCATGTGTGTGCAATGCATGTGTGAGCACGAGGACGCGTGTGTGGCGTGCTGACATTTCTTTTGTCAGTATTGTTCGATTGCAAGGCCAAATAGTTGTATTGCTGTAGCCATATTCCGTTGATACTTCACTAGAGGTAAGGAATATGATTGTACATAACCAGATGGGGGTACTGTACTGTATACTGTACATCTACATGTACGAGCAAACATGAGATTTTTTGGAATTCACAACAAAAACTCGATGTTTATTCATCCATCACAACATCCAAAGCAATCCGATCCAGCGGCAAGTCAAAAAATTTCATGTGCGGAGCTTTGCCACCATAGCAGCCTCTTACCTTGCCAAGAGGAAATTTGGACAAGAAATCAGCTGAGGTGTTCGTCTCTCCGAGTTTGAAGTCGGGGGCGACATTGACTTGAGTGCCACTGAATGCAGCAGCAATCAAGACTTTCTGGGCGCGAAAGTTGTCGCCGTACGTGTACAGAGTCTAAACACATCGCAACATCCAATCAAGAGGTCAATCAACCCCATCCTCCATGGACAAAGCTTCATTCCCAGTCTTCCTTACCCCCGCCATTGTTTCAGCACGAAAAAGAAGGACTACGAGCATGCGCAAAGGACCTTTCTGGCAACAAGAAGAAGACGACGACGCTCATCGAGCTGCATCACACGCAGCACGTGTACATGGGTCTGAATGACATGCATGCTTGACATCATCCGGTGCTGCACCGTATACATCATGACTGACTGTGTCAAGAGTTTATGTAGATCTACTACTCTTGCTGTGTGTATCCCTTGTTGTATTCTTGCTGGTGTCAAGAGTCATAATGACTGTACTCATGGTGTGTATCAGCAAGAGTACACAGAGGGTGCACATGTGCACACGTGTAGTTATGTACTCTTGGTATCAGCAAGAGTACATAACTACACACTCTTGGTATCAGCAAGAGTACATAAACCTATGTACTCTTGGTATCAGGGAAAGGGAGTCGTAAAATACCACGACTCCCTGGTGGGAGAGTTCGTAGTAGACGTCACGTATTACAGCGTTGTTTGAAACAACAAAGGCAAAAAGTCAAAACAATTATTGTGGATGCCATGGGCTTTGTGTAACTATTATTAATTTTGGTTCTTGCCTTTATCGAGTCTTTGTCGGGTCAGTTGGGTACTGCTGGCTGGATACTAGTATGCTGTGCCACGAATGCAAAGGGGGAGGAGAGAGTCACCCTTTGTTTGTTCTACATAGGAGTGAAGATTGAATTGAACAACGTCGAAACGACCAACTAATGTGCGAGTGGATCACCGTGTTGCTTTAGTTTCTCTGGACTATAGTAGACGAAACAACATCACTGACCAGTTACGGCAGTACTGGCAGTAGTGTTTCAAAATCTCATGGGTCGGTCAGAAGGCAGTTTTCACCCTATTGGCCCACATCGTCAACACTGATTTTCTACCAATTAGTGTATTCAATCGTGTCCGGCTGGGTTGTATGTATGGATGTTCCCGAATGATCCAGGTGCCTTGAAGCACTTACATCTGTGCAGTGTAGGAGTGCTTTCCACTGCTGGTAATATGGATGCTAGTCCAAGCTATGATTTCGCCAATGGAATTGGTTGTTTGACATTGCACGACGACTCCCGTCTTCGTCGGCAAAAGAGTCGCAGCACGTTGAAGCGGAAGTGTGATGATAGCATTGACGCAACAACGTTGCATGCAGCACCTAAACGCATCTGTCCGTCCGCTGTTAGGCAGAGGCGCACCGACTTATTTGAAGTCTACTGCAACTCGAATAAGTCGTGCATCGATGCCTTCGGTATGGAGCGGCTTTGCTCTCACCTGAACGTGCACCCATCTGACACAGTGATGTTGGTGCTTGCATGGACCATGGGTGCCCAGGATATGTGTGTGTTTACGCGATCGGAGTGGCTAACTGGAATGTCAGCTCTAAAATGTGACAGTCTAGCATCACTGGAAGATGCACTACCATCTCTGGAGCGTCTGCTGAAGGAGAAATCGAAACTTCGCCAGATCTATCGATTTGCTTTTGACTTTACCCGTGATAAGTCACAGCGTGGCATCGACCTGGAATCAGCCCGTGAAATGCTATCGTGTGTGTTGGGCCATCGCTTTGTTGCTTGGCCACTGCTGGGCAGCTTTCTAGAGTTTCTGACTAAAAGTAGCTATCGTGGTATGACGCGAGACCAGTGGACCAGTCTGTTTGAGTTTGCTGACAGCATTGCTGTAGACCTTACAAACTACGACGAAGAGAGCGCTTGGCCAGTCATGCTAGATGAGTTTGTTGAGAGTCAACGGAGCACGCGCGGACTGCCTCCGTATTCCAGTGTGCGGGCAGCGGATCAGGATAGTGGCAATGAGGATGGTGAAGATGACGGACTGGATATGGATGTTTGACTGGATATGGAGGTTTGACTGGTGAGATACCAGTAGAGGAGGAGTTCCGTGACCATCAGATATCGCCAATACTGGTTTATGGTGTGGTACTTTTGTCTGTCTGTCTGTCAGTCTGGTCTTGCTCTTGGTGGGTGGTCTGCCTATCCACCGTTCCACTGTCTGTCTGTCTGTCTATCTGTCTGTCTGTCTTTACATAGCGGGGTTGTACTAGCCAAGTGTGCCCGTGCCGTGTACTCCAGCTCATGCTTGTATCCCAGTATTTCTGGTTTATTATTCATTGATTTATCCCGCTATATTTTCCAGTCATATGGAGGCTGACATGCCCTTTTAGTGCTTTTTATTCGACTTCTTTTTAAGTTTTAATCAAACATTGACAACTTGATCATTCCGATTGTAGTCGAGTCTTCGCTTATCGTACGTTTTGCTTGGAATTCTGGCCTTGGATTTGACAACCTTCTTGGACAGACAGATATCGATGCAAGGTCTTGTGTGCAATGATTGCTGAACATAATGTACAGCCATGGAGTTCTTCAAACGTATACCGTAGTGTCCATAATTGTCATGTAGAGTTTTTTTCTTTCGTTTGTCGTTGTTGGACTGGCACGTGTCAAGTAAGTTGTTTCTGTTGCTGTGTGTATTTGTCGTTATCACCATTGTGCCACTAGCGTCGCAATGTACATCTTCAGATCACAGTGCTATATTATTAATTATAACCTGCCTCTGATATCATGGGGTGGTGGTTCACATTCCCACCAGAATACTATAAGTCTTGCTGTGTTGCTGTGCCAGTATCAGGAGGTGATTCAAGAGCTGGTCCACTTCTTGACGTGTGCTGTGGAGACCAAGCAACAACACGTGCAGCTGCCTGACTACGGTGTCCTACCAGGCCATGCGGCCTAAACTGTTGCTGCAGCAGCAGCTAGGCTGTATTGTCTGTAGGACGCTGTGCACTGTCCTGCTGATGAGTGATGTACATGTATTACAGATCAGCTGAAGATCCTCCTCTGAATCTGCAGTGTTGTGATTTAACCAACCCTGTGCATGCTTGCTTGCCTATAAAGTTTTTAAGTTTCATTCCAGAATCGATGCATGAGCTCAACTTGGTCGATCTGAAACACCCCCTGTAATTCCTTATCTGCGCAGAGGACAACTATCTTGACGGATGTTGCTTCATCCTGGCTAGGACCAAACAAATTCCATGTAAACAAGCGCTCGCACGGCATCTCATTTGAGACGAAATCCAGCAACGCTACCAACTGGCAGTAATAAGCTACAGCCTTACAGGGACTACAGGTTATGCGATTACACCACCAACTGAGATGCTTTGTAGCAGGGAGTAGTACAATACCTTTGTGAAGTTTATTGTACTACTCCCTGCTTTGTATGGAGTAGCGGAGTGGTCGTCTGGTCGATGCACTAGCCACTAGCTGAAACAAAACCGCCGGCTCATGTTGTATACGTAGCTCCCATAACATAAGCGCATCCTCTGGCTCACAGCCAGGGAGTCGTAAAATACCGGAATTTTACGACTCTCTGCTCACAGCCATGCCAGTGTTTGCACAAGTTCTATTGGACTCCTGGCCAGTGCTAGCTAGAAGATGTGCTTACAGTCCGAGCTTAGAACACAGCGTCTTACAAAAGCACGCGGTGATGAGCTGAAAAGTTCGGTTCTTTTCTTTCAACGTTTGTGAGATACTCCTTGCATTCACAGTACCATGAACTCCACCACTGGAGTGAAACAAACCTACTGTACTCTAGTTCACAATCCAGCATATTATGTGCTACTATCTGATCTGAAGCATGCAGTAGCTAGCATCAAGCTAGCGTACATGTACACTGATAGAATATGAAATCACTGAGCGCAACGGTATGATTACAGTACCGACAAAACAAGAAATCATATTGCAGAAAGATCTGATGAAAGCTCAATATGCCCTGAATGTGCAAAAGGACAGCAGAATGGCATGTCTAGGCGGGGCCCAATGCTGCTTGTGGGGGTGGAATTTGCAGCTTGTCTTCATGCAATAGCACTCATGGATACTGCTGCCAGAAAGCAGGGACCTGTTGCCATGCTGAAACACATCCATATGCAAGGTATTGCCTTGGGCGAGCTCACATGATGGCACTCAATGGATCAGCTTAGTGCTGGAGGCCAGTCCAGTTCAACACCCTGCAGAAAACAAAGAGAATGGTAGCGTGTTAAGGCTATGATCACAAACATACAAGATAAAGCGAAAACAGTCAATGACACGGAGGAAAAGTAAACAAGGGTACACTTTAACTTTGAGTCAGTAGCTGCACCAATATGTTGTGTAATGAAAATTCGAATGAGGTACAGTGTACACTGGAGTTTGTGATTGCATACACTAAACAATGCAAGATACACCACAGGCACTGTCGGAGAATACATGCAAGCGCTCTATCCAGCATCAGCGCACAAACGAGCACCAAACATCGCGTACCATGACATCCAGCTCGATGATATCCACACTGGCCTGAAGCAGAGAGCCGAGGTTCGGGGTGGTGCGTCCCATGTCGCCGTGAACAAACTCCTTGATGTAGGTTCCGGCTTGGGTGGAGAGGAACAAGTGAAAGTGGCGGTCGTCGACAGGCTCAATTGACATTTTGTGGACAGTGCGTTGCCGGTCCATCAGTGTACGCCTGGAGAAAGAGGAGGATGAGGCAGTAGCGGGTATTAGCAACACAAAGTGTGGACATGCCACAGTTACATTGGTCACAACTGTAGCACAGAGCAGTAGCCAAATCTTTGCCCAAATGCTCGCCAGCCAAGCACTTGTATAACACGCAGTGTTCTGCTGCCTGGGCAGAGTCTTCACTAGATGCCTGAGCCTGAGGTCAAAGTTGACCTGCGAGGCTGCGACAGTCCAACGCAGCAAACAGGATAACGGTTGGGTTGGTGCTGTGTAATTACTAGTCAGCAAATTTGTAGTGTGCAGGTAGCGAGAGTGCTCGGCTCTTTGTGTGTAATCTGTTCGCTGCAATAACGCGCCCGCAGCCAATGCGGAGCAACGCTAGAACTGTAGCATGGGCTGAGGGACAAGTCACGCGCCCCAAGCCAAGCACACTTAATTAAACCCTGACAACCGTGAAACAGGCACACCTGCTCAGAATATGTCAAGTTAATATGAGGTATACTTGATAAGATAGCCACAACCAGTACAAGTCCTTGGAGTACATTATAGCTACATACGGGCAGGAATCCAGCCAACTGGTCAAGGCGAGTGCATGCGGCACAGTCAGACCTTGCTTATCCGCTCCTTTTTTCCCCGATCCCCTTACCAACCGTTGGAGAATCAGCCATCAAGAGCAGACTTACCGTGAGCACCATGGAGTGCAATGTGCCAGGGTTTCAGTTATCCAGTTCACTCGCACGTACGGGTATTTTCGTAACAAGAAACGTGTAAATTAAAGCGAGATCCCAGTGGATGATGCTTCCGCCCTCACAATGCACACGTGTACTACCTCCAGACCAGTCAGTGAATGAACGTAACTTATACGCAGCATACAGCATACAGCATACATCAGCAGTTCTTGCCAGATGGTCTCACCTGTGTAGCACGCGGAGTGGTGTTTTCTGGTTCAGTACCAGCTCCTGCAGCACGCAAACACCACACAAGAAAGGCGTGTCACACGCGTACAGCAGCAGTCCCACTGAAGCGGCTCAGCTGCTGGGAAACCTTTTAATTTTAACCACTAACTGCACTGCAGTATTGGACCCGTGCCAAGATACACTTTTACACCAATGACCTGAGGCCCATTACAGCATTCCCAGCGTGGCCTACGCATTGCGTTCTCGAAGGCAAGCGGTTGAAACGGGTAGGGAGAGAAGGAGGGAGGGGGGATGACTCACTCATACTGTACTCAGTCGTGAAACACCTGACATGAAGGAGACACATTAATTTTTTGTAATCGAGATCATTTCTTTTTTTAGGTAAATTAGTGCTCAAGAAAGGTATATGTCCCAGTAACCGGCGACGGGAGAAAGCTCCACAGCAACGTGCAGCTAGCTGCGTACAATCATCACGGACAAAAACGGGGCAGTTGAGCAAAGACTATCTGAATTGTTTGTAGATGCCAACACAGCCATTTACACATTCAAGTCATACGCCATATGCAATGAAAAGAAAGAGCGCAAAGTCAAACAAATCTAGAGCCCCAAAGAGAACAACGAAGGAGTTGTTTTTAAAAGAACGAAAAGCGCAAAGGATTAGAAAAGAAAAGAAGCAGGCCCAAGTCAGAATACCCACGGTACAGTGTCTGCTCCAGAGCCGGGTCAACCAGGTCGCTGACCCGGTTGAGGGGTACTTTGACCCGTTTGGAAAAAGAACACCGGGTCCTGTGACCCGGTTGGGAATACACCGTACATCAGGGAGTCCTAAACTTTCTACAACTCCCTGATGCACATGCACTAGCCGCACTTGAACGGACCCGGTTCTGACCTGGTTGCAATGGTTGTGCCAGGTACACATGTACCCGGTTGGTTTGAAATCCTAGAGCAGACACTGCGGTACTTCGAAGTACTTAGTAGATCTGCGGCAGCACATTTCTCTGCCACCAACTCTCCATCACAGAACATTGGCAATACACATACCTTTATGTCTGAGATGGGTCCGAGTTCAACACATGAAACTCCACCGGGAACAAGTATGAGCGCTCTGCAGCAGAAACCGAACACAATGAGGTGATGATGACGTCATCGACACAAACCGTGACGGTGCTACACTAGATGGCTAGTACGGGATCGGCCAGTGAAACTCGCCCCGGCGTGCACAACACGACATGGTGTTTAAGTACATAGCCCAGTGTTTGTACTGCTAGGGTCATGCAGTGGCCTGCACTGCCTTATTCACACTGCTAGGGTCATGCAGTGGCCTGCACTGCCTTATTCACACTGCTAGGGTCATGCAGCGGCCTGCACTGCCTTATTCACACTGCTAGGGTCATGCAGTGGCCTGCACTGCCTTATTCACACTGCTAGGGTCATGCAGTGGCCTGCACTGCCTTATTTACACTGCTAGGGTCATGCAGTGGCCTGCACTGCCTTATTCACGAGGGTGGATTTAATGGTCAGCTCTGCACATATGAAAAGAAACTGCCATGACAGGCAGCCATTTGGCCATTAGCCTCCGGAGAATCTCATAAATATACTATTGAGATGGCATGAAGAGAACGAAGATTATACCAAGATGAGCGTGACCATGAATATGTCGTTGTTCACACTCCTCACCGGTAAAGTTTAATCTTGTCGGCTTCACCTTCCTTCATATGCTCTATTCCCGACCTGGACACGACAAGTGGACACAGGCAGAGGAATGGACGGCGAGGATGAACTCCTCGCAGACAACAATATACTTGCATGCCAGTTAAATATGCACTGTGAGAACGACAAGAGGAGACACCCTTTCTACCAGTGGCGAGGTACTAAAAGAGGAACCCAAGGTGAAGACGAAGAACCCGTCACCACGCGATCATGCAACATTCGAAGTTTACACCTAGCCTGGATCCATGCGACGAGCGATGGCATTCTACTTGCATTCTGTGTCAGCATCTTCAGCAATATTGAAGAAAGGATTTCCGACAAACTTGGTAGCTTCAACGCATCTACTCAACGCACCAGTCTCTGCTCAGAATGGCATGGGTCAATATCCGTTGGCAATTCACGTTAGCTTGCACCACTCATACACCCCTACTACTCACTTATCAATCATCTGCAAATCCCGCACTTGCACGTCTTTGCTACTGTTGTTGATGGTCTTCACAACAGGCACACGTAGGCACACAAAGGGGAGAAGCAGGATTAGGACGCTTCTAAAAATCAATGCACCACGAGCAAGAAATGAGCATCGATCATGATTTACAAATGCCACTAGGGAAACCGAACAGTCACAAGCTGTAAGAGCAGGGTCATGAATGTACATGCCTTTTACACAGCACACTGAAGTACTACATGGCAAGCCACTATGATCTCTGAGATTCTCCTAAAAAAGTTAATTAACACACGGTAAGCCAGCCTATGGTAGTGCCTGTACCAACTGAAGTTCAGCAACACGTTCTTCCGAGATGACAGACCGTTTGGGATCCACCAGTTCCACGCAGAACGGACGCCCTGGGCAGACAATTGCACACAAGCATGAAATCAAAATTGGTCACACGTACATTGGTTACATAAGGTCCCTCCCACACTACACGAATTTTTATCAAGTTCTACCGGCCGGTTTCACTCAGGGGAGGGGCCAAACATAGCATTACTCATACCAATTTAGGCTAAACAATGCAGGAAAATCGTTTTTGGCCGTAGCGTCCGTAGTTACCCCGTTTCTCTTGGTGTTGAACACTAGTGGCGTAGAACTTGATAAAAATTCGTCTCCATACACTAGATAACCCAAGGAACAAAGTGCAATCGTTTGTAGCCACCTTTCAAACCAAAAAAATCGGACCTGAGAGGTGGGAGTCACCTTTTAAAACAAAGCAAACAGAATTACTACCGAATGGAGAGAGAGCGATTCACGCCAAAACCGAAGCCCAGACTTCGAATGACGAGATGCCGATCGTTTGATACTAAAACGTCTACTTCAGAATATAGGTTTTAACGTCCCTGTGTCTACGATGATTTAGTGCATGCCCGACGAAGGATATCAAACATGCCTCACCTTTGCCCAACATTCTGACATCGACATCCTCTCGACCAGAAGAGCAGAACTTGACATCTGCGTGTAGAAAATAAAAGAGGAATATCCAAGATTTTATCAAACCAAGCACTATTTGAGCACCGTGCAAACCTACAGACACGGCAGAAAAGAGATCAACTTGAATCCACATGGAAGGCACAGGTACAGGTGACGGACGAGCAGAACACCAAAACTAGGGGTGAAAGTTGGCACTGAGATCCCGAGTTCGAGCACTCTGATTTTCTCCGATCGAATATTCGAGTATTCGAGTATTCTTCATCTCCTAAAAATAGCACACCGAAGGCCTTAAAATCACATGATACAACCCTGATTGAACCGAGTGGCAGTCATTTTGCTCGGGTATATTGAATTATTGGTTGGTGGGTCATTTGGGCTCTCTCTACTCGTGAACAAATGTTCACCACATGATCTGCACATCAATAACTGCCGACTGCTGCACTGAAACTACAGATTTCTGTGGAAAATGCATGTACCATGTAAGAACGAGTACTCTGATTTATTCCGAGTACGATTCTTTTTGAAAAAACCGAGCGAGTACTCGAGTATTCGGTATAATTGTTTCACCCCTAACCAAAACAAAAGCAAACGCCCGCAGCACAAAGCACATGCTGCACAGCAGTTACTGAGCACATACGTGATAGACAATGTCAGAATGCATACCAGCGCAGTACCTAAGGTTTCCTAAACACTCTTTGCTGCAAACTAAAAATTAAAAAAGGTGAACAAATTTCGGGTCTGCCCCACCATCATTTTACTGTTTTCAACCTGATGATGAGCAAAGAGACCGTATCGAGTGCTTAGGAAACCTTATGTGTAAGTGTAAGTAGCTGCAATTGAGTTTGTGAGTACTTGAAAAAAAACACAGTACCTGTTGCTTTTGCCTCGGCCTGCAGCGGATCACAGATTATCTCCTGGGTGCAGAAAAACCGAAATAGCATACGGAAAATGCCTTTTCTTTACCCGGTTTTCACGGAGAGAAACACCGACATAAAGCACCATGCCATGCGCCAGGCTAAGGCTAGATTAGTCACGAACATGCCAGATGCCAGTGGCGTAGAGTACTGAAAGGAGCCATGATGAATACTCTGAACTCTGCACTCATGTTCATACAGACATACACAGGTGCCCAAGGTCTAAAACAACCGGGGCTGGTTTCTCATGGACACTACTACCGTCTACACCAGTGTAGAGAGGCAGAGCATTACCAGGGCCGGCGGAACCGGTCAGGCTGGTCCGGCCATGGCCGGACCACTTTCCCAGCTGGATGGTCCATGTGATTCGTGCAAAACCGGTGTAAAAAAATCCAGAGGTACATGGCTCGACTGTACTGCCGACGTATGATGTGCTTCGAAGTAGCTCAGGACTCCATGACCGGCACTGTATGGCTTTAATGATATGGATAAAAAAAAGTTGTGTTTGTGTTCTTTTACTATAATTTTCTGCATTTTCTGGAGCCTTAAGAGGTGCCCAAATTCGCTCTATTTCACGTAAATTTTAAATATTTCTCCCGGGGGAGGTCCCCCGGACCCCCCGCAAAGGTTGGCCGGACCACTCCAAAACTCCTTCCTCCGGCCCTGATTACCAACTGAGCAATGCGCCCACCCAGCCAGCCAAAGACACTGGAGCAGTGCACAACAAACGATGAACTAGTACACAGCAGGCGACTTCCACTGCTCAATCAGTCCTCAATACCCAGGGGCAGAGCAGCAAGCTGTTCTGAACTCTGTGAAACAAGTTATTGTAGTGTCGCGTATAAAAGCATGACCTGTATAGAGGCATGAGTTGAATGGACCCATTGCGCAATGACGTAATTTGTACCCTAAACACCCTTCACAGCCACCTGGGCATGGTCGTCTGGGGTGTTGAACAGTGCATTCCTGATCCCAGCGTACTCGCAAGCATTACTCACCGCAGATTTCTCCGCACTCTCAATTCATTCTCCCAAAAGGCCCAAACACCATCACCGAATCTACACAATTTTATCCGAAGTTTGCGGTCGGACTCCACCGGAAAACCCACTGTATCACGCCTCACCGTCCGAGGATCTGACATCAAATCACCTGACCACATTGCAAATGCCCTAAATTAGCAGTTCATTGCATTTGGTACTCCGGATAACCCTCAGTGGACGCTCCCGCCTTTGCAGGACGCCTCGACTGCGCCGCCGCTCACCTCTATCTTCACCACGCCCTATGCCGTGCATAAATGCATCAAGCGTCTAAAGCTCCGGAAAGCTGCGGGACCTGATGGAGTTACACACGATCTGCTGAAATTGATTGGCCCGTCGATATCGCTTCCTTTGAGTCTGCTATTCAATCTGTCTTTCTCCACCAGTATTTTTCCAACTGCCTGGAAAGCTGCTGTCGTCATCCCGCTGTACAAAAACAAAGGCGCAAGAACGGATCCGACGAACTATCGTCCCATATCCCTTCTCTCAACGATATCAAAGCTGTGCGAGCGAATAATGTATGACATGTTATATGTACATGTAGATCCATATCTCCATCAATCACAGTCCGGATTCCGTCGAGGTGATTCAACAGCCTGGCAGCTACTTCGAGTTGCTCAATCCCTGCATGACAATCGCCATCGCAGCGAGTACAGCCTAGTCTGCTTCTTCGATTTATCTAAAGCCTTTGATACTATGTGGCACCGTGGGCTGATGGCTAAGATCGCATCATTCTCGATTCAAGGACGCGTACTGCGGTGGCTGGAGAGTTACCTGTGTGGTCGCTCACAGCAAGTAAATATCTCGGGTCAATTGTCCCACCCTGAACGCGTGTGTTCTGTTGTCCCCCAGAGATCAATTCTGGGACCCCTGCTTTTTCTAATGTATGTGAATGATATCGGTGCAATTCCCAACACCTCGCTATATGCGGACGACACCACTCTTCTGGCTAGTCACCGGTCGCTCCCCGTCGCATGTCAAGACCTGCAGGTAGGAATAGACTGTGTGGTCAAGTGGATGCGAAGGTGGAAACTCTGGCCGAACTCCGCCAAGACCGAGATCATGTGTGTCGTCCCCAACGCGTCATCAGATGTTGCACATCTTCAAACTTTTATTTTCCATTTCCCCGATGATCCTACCCCGATACCTATAACCTCTTGTCACAAGCACCTTGGCGTTACACTTGATAGCAAATTGGACTGGTCCCACCATTTCCAGAATCTGGAAAAGCGGGCAAGCTCAGTCGTCGGTATTCTTTATGGCCATCTCCCCCACATTTCACCGGAATACTGCAAGACCTTTGATCATACATACGTTTTGCCTATTTTCTTGTATTGCTGTGTGGTGTGGTGTGGCACTGGTAATGGCCTCTTTGCAAAGCTGGAGATTGTGCATCGACGGATTCTCCGGGCAATACTTCGTTTGCCGCCCGAGACCAACATAGCCGTTTTCTATGAAAATTGCTGTACATTTCCTCTGAAACATTACATTGACCGATCCTCCTGCGTATACATTCACAAAATCAAACTTATAACTGCCCCTCAGCATGTGCAGCATTCCTTTAAAAACTGGTTCAATGAATCCTCAACAAGCCGGAACTCGCTTCGTTTCCCGATTGCAAGAAACAATTCCATGAGCCACTCGCCTGTATTCCTGGCATACCAATTATGGGATTCTCTTCCTCAGCAATTAAAGTCCAGCAACACCCTCAATGCGTTTTTAAGCTTGATAAATATACACGTACGTCGATCTTCATTTACTAATCATTGATTTTCATTCTCTTTGTGTATTACTTCAAGCTCCAAAGTAGATCACATATGCTAACTGTACAATTGATTTTGGTTTTGGATTGATTTACTTTTATTTCATTTTTATTTTTATTTTAACTTGCCATATTTTGCGTGTGCATTTTGCCTTCTTGTTCTGTTTATTCCATGGCTGGTAGCCCTCATTCATTATATTGGTTGACACCATGTCATCCATGAATTGAGAATAATAATAATAATAATAATAATAATAATAATAATAATAATAATAATAATAATAATAATAATAATAATAATAATAATAATAATAATAATAATAATAATAATAATAATAATTGAATTGTTTGCAGGCAACCTGCCTACACTCAAGAGAGCACTGCATTTCACACAAATCCATTGGTATCGTTACAACGTTTCGGTCTTTATGACCATCATCAGGAATGAAGTGGACATGGAAAGAACAGCAGTATAAAAGAAGGAGGCAAGCAAGCAAAGCGCGGTGCATAGTGACAGCGCGCGTAGAGAAGTGCAAAGCACGTCATGGCGGGTGTGCATTACTACATATACATGACAACACAAGCACAAACGGCGAGGAAAGTAGATACTGCGCTACAGCAGTGATAACAGCCCAGTTACAGTCTCACACCACCAGTGAGGTGTCTAGAGCCCCGCGCCACTCGCAGTAAGGTGGTGTTATAGCAGATCCCAGCCACTGTTGTTATTAATTTCCGGGGATCGCTCCCTGATATTGATTGCCTCCCGGATCCTCCTCCTGGGGCGGTCACGCTCAGAACCGAGAACCCGGATACCTGAGAAAGCCGTTGCTCCCAATGGCAATGGGTCAGATGCATGCTTGGCCGCGAAATGCTCACCCAGCGCGGTGCCGCTCACTGTGTTGCGTGCGTCGTCGTTGTGTTCTTTTGTCCTGGTAGCGAGGCTGCGGTACGTCTCTCCGACATATTTATCACCACATTTGCACTCGAGGTGGTATACCACGTTTCGCTCTGTGCATGCTTCTGAACCGGACATGCAGGCGACACAAGCAGCCTTGGGCCGCCCCCGTTTACGGGGCTTGGACGGGTCTACATACCTGCGGCATGGTGGTTTGCGGAGGGCAGACGTGCAAATCATAGAACTTAGACGGTGGTTCCTGTAAATCAGCTGGGCATTTATCTTGTACTTCCGGAGTAATTTATGAATTTTGTTGTGGATATACTCGGTGTGAAACGGTAGGTTGAGGGTGACACGGTATTCATTCTGCACTCTGACACGTCGGGGGCGCATAGCTCGTTCACGTGCCGAAACTATAACTGACTCTGGGAAGTTGTTGAATTTTAGGATGTTGGTTACTTTTTCTTCACTTCTTTTTAGGGTGTCGGCGTCGGAGGATAGGCGGACGGCACGCAGGAACTCAGAGGAAGCAATTGCTTTCTTTTGCTGGTTGGGAACTGACGAGTTGTAGTCTGATACCAGTCCGCTGTGACATGGCTTGCGGTATAGTTCATAGGATATAGATCCATCTGGTGAGACATGGACGGTCGTGTCCATGAAATTGATTGAGCCAGTCAACTCCGTGGATTGGTGAGTGAATTTAATATTAGGATCGGCATTATTGAAGTGATCTAGGAAACTCTGCAGAAGTTCCGGGCCGAGGATCCACACAATGAAAACATCATCGATGTAGCGCTTGTACAGAACTGGGCTGGCAGGTGCACTACGCAAGAGCGAACTCTCTAGGTCATGCATGTACAGGATGGCAAAGGGGGGCGCTAGGTTATTGCCCATAGCCACACCATCCTTCTGGTGGTACACCTGCGCTCCAAACCGGAAGTAGTTGGAGCTCAGCACATGTGCGAGGAGCTCCTTGACCTGCCCAATTCGGAAACCGAACAGATCGATGCTGCCCTCGTGTTGTCGGAGGACTCTCATGACTGCTGCAATGCCATCGTTAATCGGGATGCTAGGGTAAAGGGCCACCACATCCATAGTCACAATGATGGTGCCGGGCGGGGCCTTGAGGTTGGGAAACGCGCTCCTCATACACTGGAGTGCTTCAACAGTGTTCTCCAGGTGTGCTGGCACGAACTGGAGACATTGATTGAGGATGCGTTCGAGGACTATGGAGATGTTTGTAACTGGGCTGCCGCAGGCCGCAACGACTGGTCTGAGAGGAATATACTACAACTCGTCAGTTCCCAACCAGCAAAAGAAAGCAATTGCTTCCTCTGAGTTCCTGCGTGCCGTCCGCCTATCCTCCGACGCCGACACCCTAAAAAGAAGTGAAGAAAAAGTAACCAACATCCTAAAATTCAACAACTTCCCAGAGTCAGTTATAGTTTCGGCACGTGAACGAGCTATGCGCCCCCGACGTGTCAGAGTGCAGAATGAATACCGTGTCACCCTCAACCTACCGTTTCACACCGAGTATATCCACAACAAAATTCATAAATTACTCCGGAAGTACAAGATAAATGCCCAGCTGATTTACAGGAACCACCGTCTAAGTTCTATGATTTGCACGTCTGCCCTCCGCAAACCACCATGCCGCAGGTATGTAGACCCGTCCAAGCCCCGTAAACGGGGGCGGCCCAAGGCTGCTTGTGTCGCCTGCATGTCCGGTTCAGAAGCATGCACAGAGCGAAACGTGGTATACCACCTCGAGTGCAAATGTGGTGATAAATATGTCGGAGAGACGTACCGCAGCCTCGCTACCAGGACAAAAGAACACAACGACGACGCACGCAACACAGTGAGCGGCACCGCGCTGGGTGAGCATTTCGCGGCCAAGCATGCATCTGACCCATTGCCATTGGGAGCAACGGCTTTCTCAGGTATCCGGGTTCTCGGTTCTGAGCGTGACCGCCCCAGGAGGAGGATCCGGGAGGCAATCAATATCAGGGAGCGATCCCCGGAAATTAATAACAACAGTGGCTGGGATCTGCTATAACACCACCTTACTGCGAGTGGCGCGGGGCTCTAGACACCTCACTGGTGGTGTGAGACTGTAACTGGGCTGTTATCACTGCTGTAGCGCAGTATCTACTTTCCTCGCCGTTTGTGCTTGTGTTGTCATGTATATGTAGTAATGCACACCCGCCATGACGTGCTTTGCACTTCTCTACGCGCGCTGTCACTATGCACCGCGCTTTGCTTGCTTGCCTCCTTCTTTTATACTGCTGTTCTTTCCATGTCCACTTCATTCCTGATGATGGTCATAAAGACCGAAACGTTGTAACGATACCAATGGATTTGTGTGAAATGCAGTGCTCTCTTGAGTGTAGGCAGGTTGCCTGCAAACAATTCAAGTATAATGAAGCTGCGTGAAGCGTCCTTCAAAATTTTGAAATAATAATAATAATAACAATAATAATGCATTCCATATTTGGCAATGCGCAATGGGTCTATAGAAGCCGATTTTTCGAAGCGAGCCGTGACACAGAAGCATGATTTGAATAGAAGCCGCTTTCTGCAAAGACATGTTGATGTACTTGCACAGTAGTGTGGCAGAATGCACTGCACAGTGTAGACTGATGATGCTGACGTAGAAGCATGTTTTGAATAGAAGCATAACTTGAATAGAAGCATGGTTTGAAACCCGGCTTATACGGCCGTATTAAAGCACCTTCTTCTATACGAGACATAACGGTATGTTGATTTTGCCTGATGATCGCGTACTGGCAAGCGTGTAACTTGAGTCACAATAAAACCACATTTTACCATATTTGTAAGAAAGCTCTGCCCCTTGTGGTATTGAGCACGGTATGACGGAGAACTAACTCTAGTACGTACCTGCACGGAGGTCTCCGTTTTCCGTTGGCCGTCGATCAGCCACGGGGTTTGACTCAGCTCACGGGAATATTTACAGTAGCGACCTGCACACACGTGCACACATCACACAACCAGTAGCACAAGTAGACAAAGGAACGTCAAGACACAGGTCGGCCCTATGCTATAGCCTATAGGCGCTTCCAGACTCGCTGCCATGCACCAGTGATCCACTCAACCAGTCAATGACAATAGGGAGGTTTCGCTCTACGGAATTACGTATGAAAATAACGTAGGAACTGCACGTAATTTTCATACGAAAAAATCGGAGCTGTTGGGTTTCGCTCTACGTGATTTCTCCACGACTGCTAAACATGCCTTGTTGCTTCGGAGACGCGTTGGCTGCATGTGCCCACCGCATGCACCACGAACCAAAACCGCGTTTTCCATTTTATTTTGCACGTGGTGTACGCGGTGTTTGTACCTTATTCGCGCGGCTTGAACGTTGCCATGGATAAATCCGGAAAATGCGAAAAATATTTCAAAACGTCCTGCGGAGGACCCAACGTACGAAAGAGCTTTCCTACGGAAATCCGCAGAGAGATTTACGTATGAAAGTTGCCCTCGATCCCCGGCACGTACGACATACGGATTTTCATACGTAATTACGTAGAGCGAAACCTCCCTAATCCTGCAGCATGTGATTTACTGTTGACACATAGCCCTGCTGAGAAACATCCGGAGACCAACATAAAACAAGACACAGGGGATGTAGGGACGATGCACAACTAAATCGACTAAATGCCCAGGGGTCTCCGGGGAAACCTGGAAGCTACCTGAAGTACACGCCTGAAATAGCAGTACACAAACACGAACCACTGCAATTATAGCTACTGGTTTTACTACAGTCGTGGTCGGTGAAATCTGATCCAGAGTGCATACTTGGCACCCTAAATTTGCACGGCCCTTGACGCCCTGGAAGCGGCATGAGCGGGGCTGGACGTACACATGTACAAATACAAATTACAATGATGTAATCAGAACTGGTACAGAGCGCCAGTTTTCCACTTTCGGTCGGATTTCACTGAGCGCAACTGTTAGCTAGTATGTAGCACTTGCCAGCAATGTAGATAGAGCCATGCTGACAAGAGACAGGGGACAATGTTGCATGTGCTGTCGGCTGTGCAAGAGGACACGTGTACCAGCTGCAGAGGAGAGGACACATGTGCAGACATAAATGATGTACACATCCACACAAAATCGCAAACGAACACACATACACACACACACACACACACACACACACACACACACACACACACGAGCATGCACGCGTACACATCCACACACACACACATACGCACACACACACACGCACACACACACACACACACACACACACACACACAGATACACACACACATACACATGCACACACACGAGCATGCATGATCAGTATTATTTAAGTTATTTTTCTGACTGACGCGTAATGCTCAACCATAAAATTCTGAGTTGCAGCTGTAGCTCCGTTAGCCATTGTGTAAGTTTATGTAACAGTAATACGCACAAGTACTGAAGTATTTTAAGTCAATGGCCATTACCAAGCAAACTCACCTTTTCACGTCCTCGTCAGATGCCGCCTGAAGTGCTTTGGTGACCGATGTCACATTCACTGCTGCAGCTGTTGTCTGCAAGCAAACAAACGATGAACATATGCTTGTACACAGATTACGTAGCAGACTCAGCGGCATGAAACTCAGAGTTAGACACTAACCTGAACGTCCTCCGTTGAGTCTGCTATGTGCTAAGCTCTGTCTATGACATTGAGCACTCTCTGCAGCTCGGGGATCAAGGGATGTGTTGTACACATAGCATGTGCACACAGGAGCGTAAAAGCTGTCCAGGCACACTGTGGCTGCTGCTGCACTTTAAGTAGTAGTCTACACCCAAGAAAGCTATAGTGCGTTTCAAAAGTATAGACCTCTAGACTTTTTCAAATAATTCAAATTTGATTTGAGCTTTTAGAGAAATTTCTTCGGAATATTGCTCAGGCAGCTCACGCAATTTTTCTCATGTAAATTTCTAAGCGATTGGATAACAGACGCCCAATTTCCAAAATGTTATGCACAAAGTGATCACAGCTTTTATGTGGAATAGATGCTGGCCTAACGTTTTTTTTAAACCAGAGGTCTGGACTTTTGAAACGCACTATAAGAGCAGAAGGCTACGATACCCACTAAGTAGATGACTGCACTTTCCAGTTACACAATTACTACTAGTATGTACACATGACCGGACCCTGCTCTTTTAAAATACACTATGCACCCATTGCAGGCTTGCCCTTTTCCAGTTGCACTGTACGGAGTACACGTACGGATAACACTTGCTACACACAACCTACCTTGGCTCTGCTGCGGGCTAGGCCAGGAAAGTACTTTGGGCACTTGTCAGCTCTGTTGTATGGAATACACAAGCACAGAGAGCACAGAGTCCAGTAGCACTGTGTAAATGACAAAGCAACGATAACAGTGAGCTCAGCACCATAATGATATGGTGATTATAATACAAAACTCTCAAAACAACAACACAACAACACAATGGCACATTTTGCAAGACAAGAGAGTGAGGAGACCCTCTCCCAGCCTCTTGCCAAGGACCCGCAGCACTAACAGTATCTGCCCAAAAGTACAGAGCTGACAGAGTCTGAGACCCTGACTCTAGGCATTACAGTTAAGACAGTTTAAAATTGTACCATACTACTAGTACTTACAGTACGCTGACCAGCTGCTCACTCTCAGGATGCTCCACAGCGATGACAATCTGAAACGGACTCTGCAAGAACATATACATGACATAAAGAACAAAAGAATACAAGAGTCATTCCACGCGTAAGCTGCACACGTGTGTACAGACACACTCACTTGTCTACCCGCATTGTTGCTATGTGCTCACTTGATCGTTGAGTCGGAGCATGCACGGCACGGTACACTCCATGTGCACGTTGTCTGCGCCAACCGAGACAACAGTGGAGGTGCACTCTGAAACAGCTGAATGCTGCAGCATATAGCCTGCTCTGTTTTCAGTGCAGCTATGCGATGTCCATGCTATGGTCTAGACACACACCTGGAGCTGGGAATGTTGACCTGGATGCGAGTCTCTACTAAGAGAATTAGTTTGACAGCTTGATATACTGATTACTGTGCACGACAGCATGTACTACCTACCGCCACCATGAGCTGTTCTGCTGCATTTCCCCTACACATTATTGTCCAAATCTCTCCATTCAAAATACTTCACTCATTCATTGTCCCGAAAATGCGTTTTCACATCTTGGGCTTCTGAGGTGCAATTCAGAAACTCTAGGTGCAAGACAACACGAGATGGAAGATCGAGAGGTGAAACTCACGTTCAGGGAAAATCCAACACCAAGGTGTTTCTGCAGCTGAGGACTAGCCACCCACTTCAGAACTTCTTTCACCTGTGGAACGCCGTCCTCCGTTCTGCACAGACACAAACACGAAGTGCCGCTTGCAATCAGCGTAATGTAGCGGAGTGACAGGACAATCAAGAACACCAGTGCAACGTACATGCCAGTATATCTAGCAATAGAGGATGATAGGCTACAAGATGATCCTTGAACACAGGTCAGAGTGCTCAATGGGATTGATGACAGGTCATTATGCTAGAGCTTTACCACATCCAAGGTCCAATGGAATAAAATTCGTCTCCACTCTAGATGTATTCCACTGGGCCTTGTGTGGGGAAAATAGCGGACTACATGCAAAATGACCTCTAACACTAACATCCTGCAGTGGAGTCCACACTCACACACCCATCACTATGCAGCGCATGCACTCGTATATGTGGTACCAGTACACACAGCTCAGACAGATTACTTACTTAAATTCATCGGCAATAGCTGCAACAAGTGCCCGCTGCACAAGAAAACGGGAGCAGAATGAAACCACACGTTCACGCACGCATACACACACACACACACACACACACACACACACACACACACACACACAGCATCATAAGCACACATAGAAGATCAACCGCACAGCCGATCACCCATGGTACAATGTAGAACAATACATCTAGTCGCAGCAATAGCAATCTGATACACTGGGGACCACATAACCACATTCACTGCACCGCCAATTTCACCATTTCTTTGCCAGCCATTGTCAACAATTTTACAGCCACAGCGAACGACTTTCAGTTTCGCCATGACCTGGCATCTGAGCAGTAGTGGCAGCAACTTCACTGCCACAACGAACGGCTCTCGCAATGATCTGGCATCTCCGCTGACAAGGATGATCCATTTTCAATTTCCTATGGCTTAATCATTAGTACCAAAACAGCTATACCAGGAAACCGTGTACCGAGAAATGCCATGTCTTCAATAGGTTCTTGCCTAGCCTGAAGCACTCCGTGTACAGATCGGCATTTTTTCTCCTGCTACCTACCTCTCGCACAAGAGATGCCAGTGGGAAGAACACAGAGAATGTAAACGAACTGAACTGATAACCATCCTTGACGACTTGTGAGTGAACCTGTGAACATACGTGAAGACACATACACACACACGTGCGCGCGCACACACACATGCGGCAACATATTGGGCTAGGTGCACATGGGCCTCGTGCATCAAAGTTACCGTATAAACACACACAAAATCATATAGAAAGCATGCTCATTAGTGGCCAGTATTTCTACGGATAAGAATGCTAAACCATGGTCTAATGGCCGCACGTGGCTGATATACCAAATCCAAAATATTGTATTTCTGAGAATAGGAATATTATCCCTTACCACAGTTTGACAGATACAATAGCATAACACATCTGGTGCAGTGAGCACCCCTCTGGACTTGGGGAATTTGAGCCCAGAACATAGCAGTGGTCTAGCCAAAGGGGGCACAGCATCCCCCACCCAGGCTACTTCAGTAGACTATCCACGTAGTACCGCGCACACCTCTACGTATGCCGCGTTAAGACATGCCACACGGACGTCACCAAGATCACACTCCAAGACATGCCACACGGATGTCACCAAGATCACACTGCAAGACATGCCACACGGACGTCACCAAGATCACACTCCGAGACATGCCACACGGACGTCACCAAGATCACACTCCAAGACATGCCACACGGACGTCACCAAGATCACACTCCAAGACATGCCACACGGACGTCACCAAGATCACACTGCAAGACATGCCACACGGATGTCACCAAGATCACACTCCAAAACACGCTACTCACCTGACCAACCATATTCTCTAGCCATGAATCCTGCAGTACGCCGAGGCACGATGAGCATATCGACGACGAAGCACTAGATATATGTGTTGATTCTGCAGGCGCTCCATTGCTTGCTTCTTGTACTTCCATGCTGCACTCTGTTTGGCCATCATTGGTGGCTGGTGCAGACCGCTGGGGCGCATCGACTGGATCACACGCTGCCTCGCGGTCTCCAGCAACATTCCGTCTGTATTTGGCAGCAGGTTCAGTGTCGCCGACACCACTAGGATCGCTGCCTTCCAGCGATGTGGGTACAGCACATGGAGCATCATCCGCACTGGGTTTAGCGCTGGCCGTGTTATCAGCAGCAGATGAGCCGTCTACACCAGCTGCAGCAGAACCATTACCGTTTGTTGACACATTGTCCAGAGCCGGGCTTCCGCCAGCCGCCGTTTGTTCCGGTGCCTCTGCTGTCTCACCACTGGGTTTCGTCAGTGCTTCCAGCGTCTATAAGGAACAAACATACAGATGCATAAATTAAATTCAAAATAAATTGTTTCCTGACAGCCCCCAGCAGTACACTAAGTGTGAATATATGTGCGGCAGCACATGCTGAGCAAAAAGACTCCATATCAGTACAATAGACGGGCATACTGCTCGGCACAGCAAACTGCATAGCCTGCGGCAAGTGACAGAAGGAAACCCTGCAGAGTACTCTGGGAAGTGACTAACCAGCGTGGGATTCATGTAGCTTGACGGAAGGTAGACCTTCAAGAAACGGAGCATGCACCGTTCACAACAGCCAACGGATTGCAGGTAGGCTACTAGCTCTCGCTTCTTCTCGCGTGTTAGTGACATGTTTCAAAATCCAACGTCTCGATGTTTATTATAGCTAGTCAATAAGTACTATCTGGAAAAACAGAAGAACGGTGGAGAGAGAGAGAGAGAGAGAGAGAGAGAGAGAGAGAGAGAGAGAGAGAGAGAGAGAGAGAGAGAGAGAGAGAGAGAGAGAGAGAGAGAGAGAGAGAGAGAGAGAAGAGAGAGAGAGAGAGAGAGAGAGAGAGAGAGAGAGAGAGAGAGAGAGAGAGAGAGAGAGAGAGAGAGAGCGAGAGAGAGAGAGAGAGAGAGAGAGAGAGAGAGAGAGAGAGAGAGAGAGAGAGAGAGAGAGAGGAGAGAGAGAGAGAGAGAGAGAGAAGAGAGAGAGAGAGAGAGAGAGAGAGAGAGAGAGAGAGAGAGAGAGAGAGAGAGAGAGAGGAGAGAGAGAGAGAGAGAGAGAGAGAGAGAGAGAGAGAGAGAGAGAGAGAGAGAGAGAGAGAGAGAGAGGAGAGAGAGAGAGAGAGAGAGAGAGACAGACAGAGAGAGACAGAGAGAGAGAGAGAGGGAGGAAGGAGATAAGCCCCAGTGACGCAAGAGCAGGGAAGGCCAGTGCAACCTTGGGCACTCCGCTTTCACGACATCACTTCAGACTCCAAGACATGACTTCACTTATGAAATGATTGAAATAAACTTTATGGGACTGACATGATCATACTATGCTTTGTGTTGAGTGGAAAACCAGTCAAGTAAAGTAAAGTTCACATGACGTTGTGTTACCACCGGCTATACGATTGAGTTGAGAAACACTACCAGCTTAGGAAGTTTCGCTTGTGCCAGGCCACCGCCATGTCTGATTACACCAAGGCGGGAAATGTAACACTTAGCGGCGAGGGTGTGATGGTAAGTCTCACAACCAGTGCCCGGCAGGGGTGCGAACCTCGTTAGCTGCATCCATGTTACCCACACTCCATGTAGTGAGCACCTAATTGCTGGTGCGGTTCATTGTATAATACAGTGGCACATGTATGCATCACCGCATCTGTTAGTACAGTAAACACTCCCTGCTGCCAGCGCGGGTCTCGAACTCGGGATCTTGTGTTCCGCAGGCAAGCCCATAACCGCTCGGCCAAAGCGCTGGTCATGGCCCGACAAACCGGACCGGTTCTGCCGCCCCTATGATGGCATCATATAACCCCTCGGTTAGAAAGTGCAATGCACACTCTTTCGAGGTTCTCGTGGTAATGAGCTCCTGTGTCCATCCAGAGGCCGACCCACAATTCCGTTATTTATCTATTTTAGAATTTTTTTGAAGTGGGAGACACATCAGACCACTCGCCCATCTTTTGTCTTTCAACATATCTAGTACCTCATCAAACTCGACAGGTTCAAAATTAAACTTCTGGACACTGCTATGGGAAACCAAAATAATGCTACCCTCCATGCAGGGCCTCTTTTTGCTTCAATAGTGGATGACAAGCTGCTGTACTGTGCGTCGTCAGTTGTGAAACAGAGCAGGCGAAACAATGCCAATGCTGAACACTGGTCAGACCCGCATTTACACATGCAAAGTAACGTTTGATTTCCATGTTTATGATGGTTTCTTTTGCACATTTATATTATATTTTAGAAAAAGGAGGTGTACATGTACAATTTCTACAGCGTCTACACTAACCTCTTAGGAAATTTCTCTCCAGCATTTCCAGCTGCTCCAGCAATCTACAAAAAAGTACAAAAAGGCTCAAGCCTCATGCAAGCCAAGATGAAGCTACTTTCGGCGAGATCATGTAAAGGACAAACTCAACACTGTACGATGTTTTGAACACCATGCATTTTCGTTCATCTCTTTCCAGTTCAAAAATACCTGGAGCATGGCACGTGACCATTACGCACGATCTTTTTGTTCAAAATGTATAGAATTAATGTAGATACGTCACGTCATGACATGCACTCGATCAAGCTCTGTCATTTGTCAACAAGCAACAGGCTGTAGTAGTCTCAAGACATATCAAGACAAGTCATAATTCCCCTTTGTGGACTATTCATGTATCGAAGCTATGCCCTGCCTGATACCAGCATAGTGTTTAGTGTAGCAAGAGCAGATCTACTCTGGGATGGCAAGGCCCGCCCCGGTCGCGGGATCTACATGGTCTGACCGTCATTGTACCCGTAGGCTGGGAATCATCAACTTCCATGGTGACTCACTGGTGATATAAACGTTTGCAGTTGTTTGCAGACAAGGTGAGAATGAAGACAACCAGCTGAACGTATGAACGCAACGCAGCTAATAAGTATCAGCGGGCATAAAACATGCTTCAGTACTTCAAATAGAATAGAACTATGTCAGGCGGTGAGTAGCATCATTGTTGAATAGACGGCTGTGAATGAAGTGGTGAATATAGGCATATAGCCAACTGATCCCAGCGTCTCAAGAACAATGTCAAGACTTTGCAACTAAGAAACCTGCACCATAAACCATCGGAAACTAGGACCCTGGTGTACATGTACGTGATAAATTACTGGACAAGACGGGCTCTTCGTGCTATCGTTCTGAGTAGCTTGTGAAGAATGCAACGAGTTGCACTGCTTCCGAAAAGCGGTACACGCAGAGGTCGGTGAAAGAAAATAACCAGGGCTATATCAGAATTCATCCAGCAAATGCCTCATGGCCGGGTTGACATCGAGCTTGCAGGATGCACAGGGGAATTTCTTCGTCAGGAAAGGAGTGTACCTGGACAGGGCAAAACACGTGGAGAGAACACTACACTGAATCAGCAATGTAAGGGCTTTCTTGATAGACAGCATGGAATAATTGATCTGTTCACAAAGAGAAACAAACCTACTACCACCGTTTGTTCAACGCCTGTCCGTGCACAAGCAACACATCAATGCATCCGACAATGAAGCACATTGCAAGTTGGCTTTGAAAAAAAAATCCCTATAGAAACAGTCGTAAATGTTCTGGGGAATCGTGTGTTGCTCCCTACATGGGAGCTCGCGCTGTTCCTGCCGAATTCAATTCTCACTTGACTGACTCACGACTGCCATCCAGAGCACACGAGAAGCCCATCGAACCGTCCAGTCCACTCGACGTAAATGTTCTGGGACAGTTTTTCCCCGTACGTGTAGCATTAGAGCACTGACAATTCTACAATGTCACTGCATACTCTCAGTAGCCATGCTGGCCTACCCAGCACTTGTTGTAACTGCAATGTGGATCGTGATCAGAGAGAGAGACGCCATTGCTTACCAGAAGTTTACAGCCAAATTGCGCTTGGCCGTCGGGCTGGGACGTGATTGTACTTCGTGCCACCAGAACGCAGGCATGAACAGGACATCTCCAGGCGTCAGGCGGCACTTCAGTGAGCGCGCCTTCTGAAACAAGGGGAAGCGTTGCAGATCGGGCTTCTTGATGTCCACAGGAGACATCACAAGAGCAGTACTCTCCAGCAAGTGACTGCGTTGAAACACTCCTAAAGAAACAGTAGAGACATTGGCACAAAAAGAAGTTAAAGAATACCATACTAAATTTGAATTTTGTAGCTTTTCTGCCTGTCAGTATACCTCAATAGTGCGGTACTACAAGTAGCATCTCATCCATACACAACCGACGGACTCGAGAGATCTTTGCAAGTGCAGAAAGACCACATCGAACAGTGTCCTGCCAAGTAATTTAGGTACTTGAAGTAGTGGAACTGCATTACAACATGGAGCTGCACTAATGCCAATGGACGGCAGCAATGGAGCCACATGCAGTGTGTGACACAGAATGCTTGCACAGAATTCCTGTTTATACATAAGATGAAGAATAGAACACTGTGCACGTCAAGAATTCGTGCCCACTCATGTCCATATACGCGTACACACACCCCACCCCCACACACACCCACACACCCACCCTACTTTCCATCCAGCACCCGTTTACCCACCATGCTCAGCAGAGTAGCCAAGTTTGGCTTCCGGAATATAGCCCTCATACATCCTCTCATTGTGGTGCGGGGAGAACAATGTCACTTCCTTGATGCCGTCAATCTGGGAGAACGACAATACGAGTAATATATATTATATCATGTATTCATGTTGGTTCACAAACAAAACTGAATAATTACACAGTATATGCACAACAAGAAACACTAGCACTAGTAGATCTACTTTCCGTCAGCAGTGAACTAGAGAGTGGGTATTACTAGAACGTCTTTTGAAATAAGCAGCAGGTGACAGTGCAGCACAATGCACAGCGCTGCGCACAGACATTGAAACGCACATGCCTTACAAACCACATCAGACTCAGTCGTACCCGTTAGTCCCATTGTAGTTTCAACGCACACACACACTAATGCATGTATAATTATTTGCTCGGCATTGCTGTGTCCAACTCGCCAGCTCCGCACTGCCTGCCACGTACAGAGCACAGCCAGCGGCGTTTCTTTGACTTACAACACAACACTAGCTTGTCCTGATAAGTGGAGCTCTGCTAGTAGCTGCCACTTCCAAAAGAGGCTGGATCGACAACGCAAAAGCGACATAGCTCGGGCAAAACAATACGTCCCGCTGCCCACCAGCAGTGGATTGGTCCACTGGCAAGGTGGGAGATACATAGCAGAGCCGTATTGATGGGTTGTGCACAACAACAGTGCATGCATGTACCCGGATGCTGGTAAGGAGCATCGCAGAGGATAGACTGCAGCTAAGACTGCTTGGCTAGAGACAGACAGTAGAATGAAATGTTACTATTTGCTTGAAAGTGTAACCATGTGCCATAAAAACACCCATTTGCGCATGCACAGTGTACAACACAGTAGGTTTCTAGGTACAGGTCGACCCGTGTTAGTACGATATCGGTTAACTTCATCAGTGGACCAGGTGGACAACGATCAAAACATCCCCTGGCGCCTGAAACGCGCACATTCAAGTTCGGATAGTAGATAAAACCCGTTTACAGTCAACTTTGCGTATAACTACACTCGGCGGGGCATCAGAACAGTGTCCTTATTCGCAAAGTCTCATTATATGTGTTACAGTGTACAGTTAGAATGGACTTTGCTCTGGGCATGGAAATTCTGTCGTTATTCGCGAATTGTCGTTATATCCGCAGTCGTTATTAGCCATGTTGACTGTTTAAGGCAAGAAATTTGAAACCCCAGGTTGTCTACTAACGAGGGTAGACCTGTAGCACGTGTTACCATGGTTACAGCTAAGAGAATAGTACCGGGACTCACCTGAGCCAGAATGTTATCAAACGGATCAAAGTGTAGCTTGCCAAGGGTGTTACCGTCGCTCAGCCACAGGTTCAGGTGCTCGCGACGCATGCTTGTCGGCAGAAACGGCATGGGCAGAATGTCGTCTTCCAGCTCCGGCATATAGTTCGGTATGCTAGTGTATTCCAGATAAGCCGAGACATTGCCTTCCCTGGCAATGCGACTCAGACTCTTGTTCGGCCTCTCTCGTAACGTGATGTGATCCATGAAAGCAGAAAACGGCACATCGGCAGTCGCGGGTCGCACCACCACCAAGTCAGGAAAGTCCATCTGGCTACGGATGTGCGCCGGCATTCGTCGCTTGGCCCTGCCTTCCCATTTAGAGTCGGATTCGCAGCCCTCAAACTCGCCATCAGGGGACAGTTTCACGTGCACCCGCCGGCCACCGAATCGAGCGTAGAAGAAATCATTCGACCACTTGCTGACCGCAGTCCAGTTCTGCACTGCTTTCTTGATAATGACTGGTTTTGATCTAGACAGGAAGTCCTGGTAGAATCGCTCTGTAGTTGGCACCTCAATCTGCTCGCATTGTTCTTCCTCTTGCTTGGTTTCATCCCGCTCAGGAACGTCATACAGATTTCCTAGCAGCGCCTCTCGCTTTCGCCCAGCTGCATTCAACGTACCGTCGATTGTGCGATATGTGCCACAGTGCGAATTGATGAAGTCCACCAGCTGCTCAGCAGAGAAAACACCAGTGACCGGCTCGGCCTTTGGTGTCACTTTCGGTGGTGGGTGTAAGCAAGATAAATCTTTCTCCCTGTGAGTGAAATACAGCAGGTTGCTCGCCTCAGAGCTCTCCGGATATTCAGATAGATGGACTGCGCACACTGCGTGATCCTTTTCAAAAGCAGCAGCAGCCTGCATGCGCAAATGCTTGTATTCTGTTGGTGAATGCGGTGTTGTTGCAATGACGCAACAAGCGTCAACGAGCGAAGGGAGCTTTTCTGAAGTAATAGTTGCACTGGACGCGGGTTCAGCCTCTGGCTTGCTGATGTAACTCCATGATGGGGCACCTGCGATTGATCCGATTAGAAGAACCAGCAGCCAGCCAGAATATCTATCAAGGGATTTTAGCATCATCATGTTGCATGAACCAGGGAGTAGTAAAATACTCCCTGGCACGAACTAAGCTGTCTACAGAGCGAGTTGGACCTCGGGCTTAGGCTATACGTTTGAGTTCTCTCCCTGTTTCAGTTCTCCAATAAAAGAGCATCCCGCTGCCTCGTCAATTGGTGACTATCTCATTCAGCACTACTACATTCTATGTGTATAAAATCAATTGCAGTGTAGAATGTTTAATCCCCGATTCCAGAATTCACGAACTGAACGTGTCCTGTGTCTGGAAGTAATGTCAATAACTCCGACTAGGAGAGGAAAGGTTCTCCACAATGCTGCTCTCAAGTACAGTAACTCTAGCAGACAATCAATAGGATGGCATGAACTTGATGAAGTGAGATACCACAGAAAATAGAAAGGGAACAATCGAGTCAAATCAAAAGAGAAAAAAAGAGGTGTGTAGACT